AGACAACCTAAAAAAAAAGACCTAGTGAGAATTACCAAAGCAGTGTCCAATGCATATTACATGTGTGTACACCAATCAGGGGTGAAATCAAAGCCCCTGATAGCTCAAGTGGAGAACACTGATATTCTTGTTATGAGGCTTTGCAGAAACTTAACAAAAACTGGATAAAAAAAAAGTTTTGTCAGATTCCTTCCTTCCTTCCTTCCTTCCTTCCTTCCTTCCTTCCTTCCTTCCTTCCTTCCTTCCTTCTTTTTGCCTGCCTCCCATCCTGCTGTCTTTTCATCCAGTTTCCCATACTTTCAGTTTCCATTTTTAAAATCTGTGCTCAGCCAAAATAGCTGCCCTAAATTCTTAATGATTTAAAGTATGTTCTTTTAGAAATTAGATTAAAAAACTGAAAGCTCATGCCAATTATGTAAGAAGCCCCGTCTTCCTGAGATGAATTTGCACTGCAGTCCTCGAGTTTTTGTTTTGGATTTTCTTCAGATGTGATTCTACATTGATCTTCCTATACTTTGGGGGATTTCAGTATCTTTAAGGGAAACTCTGGTTTTAATTGTGTCTGAAATGGCATTGGCATTGAGACAGACGAAGAAAGAGAAGTGAGTGTCCTTACTGCTGGTGACTGACTGAGGGGACATGCAAGGAGTGAACAAAATGAAGAATAAAAGCATAAGTGAGGAACTGCAGGACAAGAAAGGGTAGCCGGTACCCTGTAGCCACATTTCTGTTCCACATAGATAAAGACATACATCTTCTATTTCTCCTACTTTGTCACTAAAATCATTGCCGCCCGCCCCCTCCCCTTGTCTTTCACTTTGTCATGTGGTAGGGACTGTGTGGGCTCCTCAGCCTCCCTGGGGTGGTGGCGGGAGCTGTGGATACATAACAGGCGTCTCTGCATGTTTGTTTGTTTGTCTAATGCAAACCCTGCGGCTTATTTAAGCCACTTTTTGGGAGGCGGGGGAGCTAGTGGGTTTAGGGACGTGTCGTAGCAAATGCTCCCATGCTGCATGTGGTGGACCTCTCGCTCTAAGGGCAGGAATGGCGGAGGAGGATGCTCTGTAGCCCATGGGCCAAGATAGCACGCTGAATGTAGCGCTGCTACCATGACACCTCTGTCTCAGTCTCTCCCTGTCTGTATCCTCTTTCTGTGCCATCTCTCATCACCCACTCCCTCTCTCCTGTTCACTAACTGTGCCTCAGACAAACACTTGGAAATCACACAATCGCTCTCTCTCGCTCGCTCTCTCTGCGGCTGCGACCTAGACAAACATGTTCGCTTGTAGAGGCTCAAAGGAGTTTGACAAAAGGCTTTGAAAAACTGCCGTTACACATACCCTCTCCCTAACAGATACACACATATAACCAAATACTCCTTCTAGATACCTACTCCAAGCCATGCTGTACACTTTCTCTTCTCTCTGATGTCTCTCCTTACCAGGATTTATCAGAAACTTATTAAATCTGTATCCAAGATCTTACTTACTTTCTCAGTTTTGTCTCAAAAAATCAGTTTAGTTGCAGCTCTTATAATTGTTGAGCAACTATAATCACTTATAGTCTTATGCAGTAAGCACTTCAGTGAAATTAGCTGAGAATGAGTTGTGAGAAGCTTTTAATGTGAAAAGGGGATTAAATGTGACTAACAAAGTGAAATAAATTACTCCTGCTTCTTTTGCAGTCAAGCTTGTGAACATTCAGACAAAGCTTATTGACACACAGAGACTCCAGATCACCAGAAGGGGTTTTATTAATGCTGCAATATGTGACAAATCCCTGTTCAAGATATCTCTGTCCATCAGTTTTACCATTGATTAGGCATGAAAAGGTTCTATTTAGATGCATGTATTAATGTAATTTTCATGATGTCCTTTTATGTGCCTGGAAAAAGCTCATTTGGTGGAGAGAGATCGAACAAAAAGGATTCAGAAAGTCACATCTAATCAATCTGACCATCTCTTAACATCTACCTGAAAAATCTGTCTCTGAAGCTACTGTTTGCATTGTGTAGCATGGTGATGGCAGCAACATGCTGTGGAGATGCTTTTTTAAAAATAGAGACAGAGAGGCTTTTCAGAGTTTATGCGGAGGTGGATAGGGCTAAACTGAGTGGTTCCAGTTGTCCAAAGGTTTAAGAATGGCCTAGTCAAAGTCCAAGTGTGAATCCAGAAGCCGCCTAACTGTAACTTTTAATCTAAGAATGCAAGTTGTTGCACTGGAATATATTATGTAACAGTAACTGAATAGAAATGCACACATTGAAGCTTGAAGTTATGTCAAATGTGGAGAAGTTTAAAATAGTTGGAGTACTTTTGAACGGCACTTTATACACAATGAATGGCTTAAAGCTATAGTGGTGTTTTCAGATAACTGATGTAGAACAGAGGTCAAAAGGACAGAGCCAACAACCTGTACAGTATTTACATTAGTCATCATTACTGCGTGAGAAGTAATAGCGAGTGAAGGAGTTGAACCCTTCAAACCCCCGTGTCCTCAGTATACACAGTGAATTACAGTTGTTCAGCACTTCGAGAGCTAACCTGATGTCTCTCCCTGTCTCTGACTCACTGTCAGCCTCATACATTCCCTCACAGCCTCGTCCCCTCTTTCTGATGCTGCTCTGTGAGGCCAGGAGCATTATTAGCTGCGTGACTGAGCTTTTATCAGATATTAGGGCTGTTCAAATGGATGATCCCACTACACCGCCGTGACCAACAGACAAAAAGCCCTCTCTCTTTTGTTCTGTTCTCTCGCTTCTCGTCCTCTCTGAAGGCACAGCTGCAGTTATTTGTTACCGCAGCAAAAAATGGGACATTTTCCCAGGATTCCCTGCAGGGCTGTGTCCCTAAGCCTCTTTCTGGGCTCTCCCAAAAGAACAGGAAGCCTGGAGGTGCTGTCCCATAGCGGCTCCCTTTTCCCTTTGCTCTTAGATAATAGGTTCCTCCCACAGGCGCTTGGAGCAGGAGTGAACTCGCCTCACCATGTGTGTGCTTGTGTGTGTATTTGCATGTGAGCGAGGCAAAGATATATGAAAAAACGCCGCTGCAATCTACAGCTGTTATATGAAAATGTGAATCTTTTCACTTTCCTGGTTGAGCTATCTCGCGTCTGTGCCTAAAATCAGCGTACGGCAGTTTGCACATACACGATTGAGACATGCTGCAACGCACGCACACCCATAATGTGAAATTTTTCCGGCAGTTGCCCAAGAGTAAGAGAGATAACAGAACTATATGACAGAGCACAGGACTCTTTGAGCTCATCTCAGCTTATCTTTCCAATTAATATCTGCCTGTGTGCCAAAGAGCGGGCTGCTGCGCGGCTAATGATGCGGATTACTGTTGCCTGCTGCCCTGCCTCTCCCGCCGCACCCTGGGAGCCCAATTCCCTCTGAGGTGTGTGATCTGTCACCCATTCCCCTCTCGACACCCCAACCGCTTTCCCTCTACCTGCACATCCATGAACATTCAATAGGTGGCATGCTGAGCTCTAATGACGGATACGGCACACACCTCCCTCTTTCTGGTCTGTCAGCTTGTTCTCCCTAGTTATTCTCGCGCTTTGTCACTTTTTTTTTTCTTTTCCAACACCATGATGCTTCGCTTTGTCTATTCGCTCCTCAGAAACATTCTCACACACACCTACGTGCCTCGCTGCCAGCCCTCCCCAACACTGTAATTTGGAAACGTTAAGTGGAAAGATGTCTCATTTACAACCAAGGTGGAAGCGCACCTCCAGCGTCACCTCTCTCTTCCTCTGCTCCCTCCCTCCCTTCCTCCTTCTCCTCCTCTTCCGTCACGGTGTGACCACTAATGAAGAAGAGATGAGTCCTCAACTGTGCCCCCATTTATCTCAGGGAACCAGGGGAGGCACACACTCATCCCTACCTCTCTTTCTCTACCCCTCATACCTTCTTTTCTCACATCTGCTGTCATCAAGCATCTCAGTTTATTCAAACGGAAATGATTTTATACAAAGGAATTCAATTAGTCTAGTTGGTGTGCTCACAGGAAAAAGTATTATTTGGGTTTTATAAATATGTTAACTTGTCTTGCATTAACCATTACTGTAGCTGTGATAAAAGACAGGTTGTAAAAAGCAGCTGCATGTCAGGTAATTATAAAATCACCAAACTGTTATTGTATTTCTGTAACCCAGGTTAAAATGTGCAACTATATTTATCACATCATATATTTATTTCACACAAAATTACATATTACCAACTGCAATATCCATAAATGTTGATGATAATGGATAAAGCTATTTAATACAACACCTTATGTTTGTTAAACATTATGGAAGACCAATAGAAAATAATAAATCTGTATCCTGGACACTCGTCCGGCTGCAATCCTGAATAAGTTAGTTTGGTAAAAATTGCTACTTCCAATAATTTTATATTTTAGTGAAATAAGACATGCAAAAAGTTCACTTTCTCAGATAATCTGAATGTTTCAAAAGATTACGTCTACACTAAAAAAAAAATCTATTCAATTTTTAATCGCTAAATATTAAATTTTATTTCCCAGCTTAGTGATGTTCCCAAACTCTCTTCATGAGCTCCAGCATCTTGATCACACAGTGTAGATAAGATTTAGGATCCCAGCATTGAGTTTGATTCCCCAAAATCCAGCATAAGAATTCTGACTGCGGGCAGTGAACTTCAAATACAACATCCAAGCAATCTCTTCAACGGAAAGTTAGATGGCAGGAAAAACTGTGGTAGAAAAAGATTCACAAGCAGCACTAATCACTGCAGCCTTTGGAGAGCTTTAAAGTGAAGCCATGAAAGACCTTGGAGGGAATTGTCTAATAATTGTCTTTGGTCTCATTAGCTCTAAAACATAATAATCAAACTCAACAGAAATGAACACTTGAAATACTTAACTAATATATCCATGTGTTGGATTTTCACTGGCATAACTTAATAATATAACACATTTAACTCTTATATCTGTAACATTATTGATGTGAGCACTGTTTATTTTTCCTTACAGATGACCTTCTCTGCCAGTCCCTACTCTGACCCAATCCATATCGAAGAAAACAAGGCCCCATTGATGGATCCACCTGAAATGCTGTGGGTCATGGGCCCTGTGCTGGCAGTAGTCGTGATCATCATCATCGTCATCGCCATCCTCCTCTTTAAAAAGTAAGTCACGTTTTGCTCTCCTGTTTCCTTTAGGTGAAGCTGCAGCAGCATCTGCGATGTCAGATTTCCTTCGGGTGTGTCAGTAGTGGTCATAATAAAATGCATGAAGCGGAGGCTGCGCAAAAAAACAGCCCGTAACATCCAATTTCTCGTTCTCTAGCATTCAACAGAGACAGAGGGGAACCAGAAAAGGATTGATTTGTGTCTCAGACAAAGAGATTTTTTGCCCACTTGGCTGTTGTCAACAACGCTGTGTTAAATGTCAGATGAATTGGCAGCTGACATACCTGCTTTAATAAAATCACAGCCTAGCTGTCAAATGCTCTTAGGTTAGGAGTGAAAAATGTGTTTTGGCAACACCATTGGTCATTTCAGAAAAAGAAACAGAAGGCAGCAGCAGAGGGCTTAGCTAAAAGCTCAGTCAATATCTCTTTAAAGCACTTGAGCTGCCCCTGTGCAGTACAACATGATAATAAACAGGCCAGCAAGGTGCTTTGGAGAGTCGGATACAAAGAGACTCAGTCTCACTATCTGTTTTTCTAATTACAACTTTTTGAAAATTAATATATATTTAGATTTGGTTACTTGGGGAATCTATCAGCTTGGAGTTTTAGGAAGATTAGTTGTTTGTTTTGATCTGGTGTCTTGCAGAAGTGCTTGTGCAACTTGAAAGGTTTCACACAAAGTGGAACACTATAATGAAGTGCATGATTTGGATTTTTTTTTTAATAAAAATCTAAATATTTTGATGTTCATTTTTATTCAACTTAATCAGAACAGTCAGTCAGCTTCTGGGGTTAAGGTCAAATAAGTTTAGTATATAGGGTCCATCTTTTTTTAAGAATGAAGGAATTCACAAAGGACAGGGAAGGATTCCAGAGTTGATCTGAGGATGGATGGAGCTTATTTTAAGGCAATACTTAGAGGAAACCTGTTGGAATGTGCAGAAGATGTGAGGTTAGCGCTTCACCTTCCGGTGTAGGTACCAGATCTGCTGGAGTGGTCGGATCTGCACAGGCCCCAGGCCATGCTATTGACATTGCACTATATGATTGGCTGAATGTTGCCAAATGAGTGCCGAGTTTGGAGCATGTGTAATGTTAGCGTGTCTAATGACTGATAAAGTTTTACCTGATGGATAGCAAAGCTAAAAAAATATGTTTATGTTTTGTCAGTTAGCCATATTAAGCTACACTGCTTTTAACTTTGAGTCAACATCAGTTCCTTTCCTACAAGTAGACTGTGTTCTAATTTAAATTCTCTATTAAAGTCATTATTTAAGATGCTCCATTGTCCTTCCCTGCCCTCAGATCTTAATAAAAAAAATAAAAAAATAAGCTGAGACTTTTTTTGTCACCTTGTTAAATGGCAGAGCTCAGTCTGTTTTAGAAGGCAGTGCTTTCCTTCAAGACTGAGAATGATTGTTTTCTACTTTCCTCTACTTTAGATCGCCAATGAAATTTAAAATAATAGCAAATATGGGTGATAATATGTTGAGACTCCAGAAGAGATTTGGTTCTTAAGAAGCAGTTGCAATACAGTTTGTCCGAGTGGAATTGCCGTATGATGACGTCATAAGAAAGGGCAGGGCCCCGAGCAGATCTGGGACCTACACCAGCAGGAGAAGGATCCTAAAAAAACAGCCAGAGCTGGAATTATGTGTCAAAGATAAATATATAAATACTAAATTTTTAAAGTGGTCCTGGTAAAATTCAGACTTAAATCTAATTAAAAATGTCAAAGTGAATATACACATATGTTCCTCATAATATCAGAAGAAATCTCACTCTGTAGATGAGCAATCCTGGAGATCTTTATAGTCTAAATAACTATCCTTATTGACATCAGTGGTCTTTTAGTGCACAGCTACTCTTTATATGCAGCAGAATTGAATTCATATAAGTAAATGGTGGATATTTATAAAGATACCTTTTGAGTGGGAATGTATCTCTCGCAGTACCTGACTCAACTCACTTCCTTTCCTGCTGATTAAGTCCCTCGTTCTACCTTGTCCTGGCAGCTCCATTACAGATTCTGCGTTTCACATCATACCTGCTTCTCCGAGCTGCCATCGGCAGCCTGTGCAGCAGCTGTCTCCGGCAGACTTAAAAAGCAGCTGGTTTATAATAGGCCTTGAGACAGCTCAGTGCTGAGTTGCACATCCTCTTGTGTGGAAGTCCCTTTCTCCGTGTGGATGCTGATTGACAGGAGGGACTGTGGGCAGGTGGCTGTGTGGCCTTTTCACTGTGGACTGGTGATAAATGTGGATAGGAATAATCACACTGTGGCTCCGGTTGTTATTGCTACCTGCAGAGCCACAGAGACCAGCAGAGAACAGTGATGAGCTTTTTTATATAAAGTACACTGCAACTGCTAGGCTATTATTTTTTCTCTTTGTGTTTTCAAGTTGTTGATATTTTTAGTTCTTGAGAATACTCATTAACTCCTCCCCCTCTATCTTTTGTTTTTACCCCTGTGAATGCAGCAAACAGGAAAGGTGGGTACTCTCAGCATTCCATCATCACTCCATGCACCACTCCTCAGGTTGTTGTCGTACCTTCCAGAGGGATGCAGAGTTAGCTGCTTTAACACAAAAAAAGACCTTTAAACAGGATTAAAGAGAAACCGAGCTGTTATCTTGTCCAATTTGGTTAGCTCTACAGGATAGGAGGCAGCCGACTCTGCACCCCCTGACATCAGAGGTTGAGGGAACCCCTGGGTCATGTCCGTGTACCAGTGCATGTTCCACATGTAGTGCCAGTGTTCCTCCTCAAATTGTCGTGTCTGCCATGGTTTGTCTCCATGCTGTGTTTCATTATCCAGCAAGTGACAGTATGCCCCTCCAAGATTGGCCCCATCTTAATATGCCAAGGCATCACCTGCTGCTGAATGGGCCATTGTGAAGTAAATGCCAGACATGGTGGGGGGGGATAGACGACTCCAAAAGACACGTCCCCATTTTTTAGGCTGACATTTTCCACTGAGACTCTTTTCTCCTCTTTTACTCTTTTTTTGCCTCTCTCTCTGCATCCTGGTGGCAGGAGTCTCAACAAAGGGCCATGTTCTACCCACATTAAGACTCCCCAGTAGCTCACACTCTGCATGTGTGTACCTGCTTTTTCACAGATCTTCACCCTCATTTTGAGCCAGAGATGAATAACCCCACATGGTTTTTCTGACATGTTTACCTTAGAGGAGCGCCAAGGTGTCATGCAGACTGGTGTCTGATTGGGTCAGAGGCTGCAGAGCATTGCAAAAATATTCATACCCCTTGAACCTTTCCACATTATGTCAGGTGATAAGCTAAGCCTCAAGGTAATAATAATGCAGACTTATATAGATAGAGGATAAAAAACTAGCTTTAAGATTGCTTGTATATGTATCTTGCAAAATCTTCTGAAATGTCACTATAGAACAAATTATGATCAAAGAATGTGTTTTTTAAATTTTTATGATTTGGCTTTTGAGTGTCTGCTTTATTATAGTATATAGTCAAATTGAATGTTATATTCAATTAGACTATAAAAAAAACAGATTTTATATAATTGGTAAACATCCAATGGCTGACTAAGGGTGTTTGGATGAACATGGAGAAATTCAGATCAGTAAGAGCAGGGCAGAGCGCTTTGATAGACGAGCACTAAGTAGAGCGTGATTGTGAAGTGGAAACAAAATGAGGCAGGATCTTCAGTAATGTTTGGATGTCTTCACTCTGATTCTACTAGATAAAATGCAGTTGAAAAGCGCAAGTAGAAGAGAATTATTGTAAACAGATATTATAAAACAATCTGTTGAGCAATCTTTTTAGTCATATATATATATATATATATATATATATATATATATATATATATATATACTCCACAATGAGGTCTTTGTTGAAAAAAACAGCAGTTGAGGTCCTGTTTACCATAATCCATGCAGCAACACAGTGAAATGTGGACATATATCCAGATCAGACCCAAATGTAATGTTTTGGCCTACAAACAAAACACTGTTTATTAAAAAAAAACTAACAGTATACATCACCTTAAACACCACTTTCCCCTGTGAAGTACAGTGGTGGCAGCATTGTGCTGTGGGGGAGGCTTTTCATCAGCAGGGATCGGGAGGTTTGATCAGAGTTGATTAGAGGCTTGAAAGAGAACTGCTAGAAGGTTACACTTTTTACACTTTTATCTGCAAATTGTTTATTAGAAGCAATATATAATCTATTTAATCATATTGTCCATTGTGTGTAGGCCTATTACACAAAACCTCCAAAATAATAAATCAAGTCTGTAGCTGCAAACTGACAAAATGTGGAAAAAATGTCAACCCCCCACTCTCACCACCCACCCCTGCTTTCTCGGCCCCAGCCAGCCCCATCAGCAATCTCTGGGAAAACTGGACACGGTCTGGCTCAGCTCTCGGCTGGAAAGGAAGAGATGCTTGTCAGAGATTAGCTGTCATGCCTCCAGCATTAGCTTAAGCCCCTGCAGCAAGAGATAACAGGTGGCGATGAAGCCCAAACCTAGGGAGCTGAGGGGGAAACCAGGTTAAGGCTCGGTGTGCGCCACCGACTTTGTGCATTCTCGCCACGACGTGCCTCGACAGAAGGCCCCAGCTCCTTCTTAAAACCATTCTCGCCACTTGCAAATGGAGTGCAATGAGATGTGAAATTTCCACGGGGCGCCCTGATGCTACTTTCTGCCCATTTCCATTTTCTGTCAGGAGGTTTGTGAGTCTGCAGCTGTACATGTGTGAGTTAGCGCGTTTGTGCGTGCATCTGTTTGAGTGTTTGAGCGCGAGTGTTTCAACAGATGCTGGCCGTCCGAATACAGGCAGGCTGCGTTTGCTGTTGCTTTTCCCTGCCTGATGGACAGACCTACGGTCGACTGAGCTAAGCCAGTCCAACCGGCGCTGCTGTATTCTGTGGCAGCCTGGATGCAGTGAAGCTGGGCCTGGTAGCACAGGTGCTGCAGAACTGGTCTAATTATCCAGTGTTGTGCCACCCAGCTGATGAGCTAATTACAGCAGCCGCCTGTTTTTCTCTCAATCTGGGAAGCCAGTAAACACAATGTGTTGTTCGCACACATGCACACACACAAGCAGCAGCAGCACACATTTAAATCTCTGCAAACACACACTCATCTGCACGTTTCCCACACAGCAGCTGTCACCGATCCAGCAACAAACGCAACCTAGCCCACTTCAGCAAAATGATGGCGCTTCTTCAAACAAATTAAATTCAAGTTTCCTTTCCAACTAATGGGAATAAGGCCCTTGGCCCCCACTGTCTCTAGAGTTTTCTGTCCTTAGAAGTAGCTTCAAGAGCCATTAAATGCACCATTAACCTCATCAAGTGTGCATGAGTCAAAGTGTGTTCATATAGTAATTATTCATGTAATTTTAAATCATCCTGTCATTTCTGCTTTGAAATTTTCAAAACTGATGACTAAATTACATCTTTTTTTATGTATTTCTTTATTCATTCCAGACTAGGCTATATGAGATGTGTGTATTCATCACCTCATTGCCTTCTTTTGCTTCTCCAGAAAGCGGGCGTCACCCTTACCGAAAGATGAGCACTCAGGCGGCGTGAAGGACTCACTTTTAGCTAACTCATCCGACCCCGTAGAGATGAGGAGACTCAACTACCAGACACCAGGTAATAACTGACACAACCAAATATACCATGCTTCTCTGTGAGGTTCAGCTTGCACAGTAAAAATGGGATAATTCCAACTCAAATATATTTTATCCAATCAAAAGAACCCCTATCTCTTTTTGTCATGTTTTAGCTACAAACTTCAATGCTTTTTAAAGGGATTTATCAAAGAACAGTGCTTGAAAATCAGTAACTGGATGTAACTGAATAGGTGCATGGTTTTCCAGAATTCTAAATGAAAATCATAATAGTCAAGCTGTTTATAAAAAAAAAAGTCATGAGAAGCTTTGATGGTACATTGTTTGGATCAAATCATGAAACAGGGTGGTGGTAGCATCATGCTGCGGGGATACAAACTGGAAAACTGTCAGTACTGAAGGATAGCCATTGGAAGCTGCAAAAGGACTGTAAACATTCAGCTATTGCTCCAGTAGAATAGTTTGGATCAGAGATGTTTGATGTGACTACTTGCCTAGTCAAAGTAAAGACATAATGTGAGAATATTTAGCAAAAAATGTACATTTTCTCTCTCTCATCCAGCTTGAGGTATTTAGCACAAAATGGCAACACATCTAGTCTAATTACAACATAAAACCTACACGACATTCCTTGATGTTATTCTCCTTTTCTTCAACCTTTTTTTTTTTTTTTTTACTATTATTTAACTATATATATTTCTTACTGATCTGTTGGTTATTTTGCAGTTGTTATTAGAACTTGACATGTCCTACTTATTTTATTGGCTTATCTCTTGGCTGTTAAATATACAAATCTTGGTGAGAGGAAGGAGGTCACTGCTTTAGCCAGCTGAGAGTTGCAGTGGAATCAGGCTGAGGAGTTTCAGATTCTGTCCACACACATAGCAGTGAAGTGGGTGGATATGAGGTGGAAGGTGGGGTGACTTCTATCAGGAAGGCAGCCTCAGCATCAGCCTTCCTCCTATTTCCTCCTGATCTTCTTCCTCCTCCCCTGGTCCTCAGTTGTCCTCCCTCCATGAGCTCCTTTCATTCCCCCCAGCTGGTAATGAGTCCTGCTGCCTCTGATGTCAAGGTGAGCCGGGCCGAGGGAACAATGGAGCTGAGAGAAAATGTCAGCCCTGGTGCACGCGTCTGTGCGTCCTTTGCTGTGTGTTTTCCCTGTCTTTGTGTGCGTAGCCCCTTCTCACGGGTTATTAAAGATCCCATTTGCCGTACACACACACACACAGCCCTTTGAACCCCTGCAGTGGAATTAAGCAGTGCTGCTGCTTTGAAAGAGCCCTGTTCTGCCATCCTCCCACTCCACCTCTCTCAGCTTTTGTCTTCCATTTCCCCCTGTAGGGTAATCTCTTTTCTTTTCCTCTCATTCTCTCCCCTCTTTCTCCCTCTGTACGTCAACACTTATTTCCTTCTGTTCCTACCTCACCGCCTCTCTGTATTGCTTCAAGTGTGGTGATTATCGAAAAGCACAGAGGCTACGTATAGATGGTGAAATGTAGGAGACTCTGAGCATGAGCCGGGTGAATATTGAACAGCCGCATCTTTTATCCTCCTGCACTTTCTCTCTTTAATTCGTCCCCAGCAGGTGAACATTTCTGCTCTGATTCTGATTGTTGTTGAACCATCGACTCAACAACAGTGACGGTTCGCTTATTTCTGAGAAATGACTTCTGTTCTTTTTGGTGTTGCAGCATCGAAAGTTTAGCAACCTGCTATATTATAGATGGACCTTGATCAGATTCTGCTACACTGAAGTATTCACAGACACTTCACTAAAGGGCAGTACTCTTTGCAACGGTATACTAATATTTATAGTTGCTTCAGTCAGGTTCACTAATTGTTACATTCTTTATCTAGTAATCTATTTTTAAGCCATTTCTGTTAATAAACTCTAAGCAATTAAAAAGAAGGAAGGTCAATCCCAAAGAATGAAAGGTAAGAAATACTGCAATAAAAAGAGGATACAAGGAAACTGAACTGCAAAGAAAGGATACAAGGAAGTTTGCAAGGAGGGGGGTATACAATATAAAATTACGTGTTTGGTAGTGCATAAATAAACACACAAAAGTGAAAGATGGAAGAATGACACAAAAAACAGTGCTAGTACACAAGGTAGGACACAAAGAATGATGCAAGGAGACAAAATAGGAAACAAGTAAGGAAAGAAAGGAAAGGGGGCAACAAACAAGAAGGATGAAACAAAGCCAGGTGGTACACAGGAGGATGTATTGGAAGAAATCAGGACACAAAGAAGGACAGGGAGGGGAGGTAGGATGCAAATAAGGATGTAAGAAAGGAAGGTAGGGCACAGAAGAATGCAAAGGGATGAAAGAGGAGACAAGGATGCTACTAAGGGGGCAAGGAAAGGGTAGTGGGGCACATTGAAGGATGGAGGAAAGAAAGGTATCACAGAAATAAAACTGGACTGAAGGATAGGAGAAGGATACAAAGAACAGGAAGGATACAAAAAAGGGCGCAAGGAAGCCAGGTAGGAAACAAATTAGCATGGAAGGGAGGTACTGTAAGGCAATGAAATAAAGAAAAGGTTAAAACAAGCCTTTTTTCTTTTATATTTGGATGATTCTCACTTCATTTATGATGCTAATAAACTAGCAGTCTATTATTGCAGCTTTTAAACATCTGCTCGGTGACTGGGTTGACTTCTGTAGGCTAATATTAGCAACTGAAATGATTCCTAATCATTCTAATTGGACCGTGATACTTGTTATGAAATCCATACACAAAATAAAGTGAGTAATAGCGAGCCGGTGCTTTGTTTTTGTTGGGGCTAAAAACAGAAATGATTCACACCTGTTGAGATATTTACTTCTGACTGCGGTGGTCATCAGTGCGCGTTTATTTAAGGAGCTTAAAAAAACCCTAGCAGAATGGAGGGAGAGAGCAGACAAACCAAGACGATCCATTTTAGCTTATAAAATAACCAGTTTTCTCTTTAAAGCAGGCGTCGTTTTTAGTTGAAATATTCAGCACTTTATTACTGCGGTTCTGAAAAGAACAAACACAACCCGCTGTGTCTTTTTAGAAAGCTACAATTTCTGTTAAAATTCTATCATTTCTAACCGCTTTTCCTTTCATTTGGCCTTTTAAAGATGGTTTCAGGCTCTCATAATAAAACAAATTAGCTTCTGTTTTTATTATTGTTGATCTTTTTTTACAGCTTTCTAGCAGTTTTAAATAACTAACTGCAGCATTTATACTGAATGCTAGTCTTGCTGCCAACAGCCTTGTGTCCATCTAAATATTTAATTATACTGTAATAAACATTTCTTTTCTAAATGAACCGTAGAGGTGTTAAATGACAACTGAAAAAATTTGCATTTTCTATTTTTGAATATTACATCACAACAGAAAACGTATCTACTATTTGAATGAACATCACTTTATTGTAATTTAATGTAGTAAATTGACAAAAGTTACAGAAGAGTATTGTGTTGCGTAAGTAAAACATTTTTCTATCTTTTTTTTTCTTTCCATTTTATCTGAAGCAAAAAAAAAAAAGGTAGAAGTGTGATGTGCATTTCTTTTTCGGTCCAGACAAAATCTTTTGCAACCAATTACCACAAACTTAAAGAAGTATAATAGATATTTTTAAAACTATATCAGCATTAGTTGAGAACTTTATACACACTGCCACAGGAGAGTATCTTAAGCTTTAGCTCTGTTTGCACTTGGTTTCAGCAGTTAAATTGGCCAGAGAGGGTCAACACCATCTGCTGCTCAAAGTTCTCTTGGTCTGAAGGTTATCTGCAGATACTGTTTGGCCTGAGTCTGATCTATTGATCGAATGTTCTTCTTTCTCCCTGCTTTTACTCTCCTCTCTCAACAGGTCCCAGCTCTCATCGCTGCCCCAACACTCCAAGTTAGTCTGTTTCCTCACCTAGTGCATACCTCCCACACATGCAGTCTTTTCGTCTTCACTCACTCACTCCTGAACCCATTCCCCCATTGCAGTCCTGACAGACATCACAAGCTTACAAGCTTGTTGCCCCTGGCACTCCAAGGATGCACCAATGGCCTTCCACTGGCTGTGAACTTTCCCACAACACCTTTATGATGCGACAGCAGAGGCCTACATGGTTTCATGGCTGGTTGAGCAGTGCGGACAGTTGCACTTGTTGTACATTAGTCTTGTTATCAATGGCTTCACCCTCCATTTAACCAAAAACATAGCCGTAAAAGACCGCACAGACACGTGCACACTGATGGTAATGTGCTTAGTGGCCCCTCTGTGAGATAAGATTCAATTTGGGTAATGGGTCAGGCCTCATCTTGTAAAGTGGCTATCAGCCATTAGCATTAATGCAATAAAAAGCTTGCAAAGGTCTGTCACCTGAAATCCTGGCCCTTGACCTCACAGATATGCTTGGCTTGGGACCCTTTTAGAGTGTCTGCACTTCAAGGCTATGCACTGTGAATACTTAGCAATGACCCATGGTTGAACATGGCAGGATCTCCATGTATTGAGTTAATGTAAATGTTCATACAAAATGTAGAGGGTGCTACTTTACATTCAACCATCTTGAGCATGAACGTTATATATATTAGAGCTTCTTTAAGGTGGTATGACAAAAATAGTAAATGAGTTGTTTAGAGTTGTTAACTGAGGAATTTCTCAAATTCAAATGATTCAAAATTGCACACAAAGGCTCAAACATCTACATGCACTCTCCACTTATTTTTCCAAATGTCACTCAGGGTTTTAGCAAATGTTCTTAGTTTGTAATTTTTTATGCATTTTAAATCTCATAGTAGGATGTTTTCTTTCTTTTGAAAAGAATGTATTTGTGTATATGCATCCAAATTTATCCAAAGTCGTATGATCTTTTTTTGAATAGAGAACATCTCCATATCAGTAGATGCAGTACTAAAAAGTAAAAATAAATATGACTTATAAGATATTGACCCTTTTATTCAGTGGTTTCAATATACAATTTATGCATTTTTTTCTTAATATACCAGATTTATTTGGCTAACTTATTTATTTAACTTATATACATGATATAGACCTCAATTTTGTTTTTTAAATATGAATAAATTGGGTTATAAACTTAGAGTTTTCAGAAATGTGTATCAAAAATGATTTATTTGGCACTATAACGGTGAGTTCAAATTTGTGAACCTGCATCTTGTTTTACAATTCATTGAAGTTGCATAATCATCCTGAAAAAGAGCTGCTCAAATACATCAATAAAAGCCCAAAATTAATCATATTCATGCCAAGGAAGAGTGTATGCAAATGTGCGGTCTGAACTGTGAGTTCCTAGCTGTCCGCTTAAGTGCCTCTCCAAGTTCTGAAGCACAGGGTGAATTTGTGTCGGTAGATTAGCAATAAATCATCCAATAACCCGGCGATGGGGAAGCTAGAGAGCAGCAGGGGGGTTGTTTGAAATTAATCCAGTCCAAACGCTCGAGGCAGGGCGAAAAGAGAGCCTATTGTTGGGAAAAGGAATTTTCAAAGAAATGAGTTTTGGTCAGTGACCAGTCATTTTTTCCCCCTTCTCATGGTTTGGAGTGACAGTGCGACTGATCTGTAGAGTCTTGTGAGTTCCTGCTCCATCTTCACCTCTACCACCAGCTGAGCTGTGCAGAGTCAGATGGAGAGATGTCTGCCTCACGCTTCCTCCAAGAAGCATGCTCACCCTCTCCACTCATGTGCATCTCAGTGCCAGTTCCACTTCTGTCCCCCTCGTTCGGCATGACGACATCACTGAAATGTCACCAGCCTGTTGTTTTATTTTTCTGTCTCTCTTCATGCACTATTGAAGGACATTGCACCTTCCTCACCGTCACAGCCACCTCATGGTCCTACCGGCAGCCTTATTCACCCCGTGGTGCAGCCATTGTTTCCATGATTCCATGTCCAATTTGAAAGCAGAAATATCCATATATGACTCCTTCCTTCTCTGCCCTTTCCTCCAGGAATGAGGGAGCACCCACCTATTCCTGTCATTGACCTGGCTGACCACATAGAGCGACTGAAAGCCAATGATGGCCTCCGCTTTTCCCAGGAATATGAGGTAAGAGCAAAGCTTTACTGATTCCTCCCCTTTCAAGTATATAAATGGGTTTCCTTGTTATTGTGTCAGCGAGAAACCCTTTTTTCTCTTTTTTTGATCTCATATGCATGTATTGTAATGGGTTATGGGAGACTTCTTTTATAGACGCTCTTCAGTCATTTTCACAACTCTATTACCGAACCCACTAGGAAACCAACACTTACATTAAATGCTGCGAGATGCTTTTTCACAAAACTAGCAGGTGGCAAGTAGCTTAAGCAATCTGTGTTCGTCTTGCTGCTTCTCAGAAGAATGGTTTTTTGGGGAGGTGGGGTGGAGGAGGTCTCTCCGATGCAACTCAGTGAGGGATTATCTGTTGTCAGTGTTCTTCTTCACCAGGAAAAAAAAAGGGGGGGATGGGGGGAATTTGCATTTAAAGTGGAACATAGTTGGTTTGAGGGTCTAAGCAAGGCCGGATGAAGAAGAGAGGCATCCTTGAATACAGAAAAACACTATTTGTCTTTTATTTATTTGCTTCGATTGTTGGATCCGCCTGGTCTAATCAGGGCTGCTCAATTGACGGCTCCAACAAGGCGGCTGGAAGGATAGCGGATCCGCCTTTTATCTAGAAGATCGTGTTCCTTCCTATGTCACTGCTTTTGACCTGCGTGTTTATGTCTAGACATTTTGCACTGCACTTTAAAATTCATTGGAATCTAAAAACTCAGCACACTGACCTCAGTTATTGTAACCCTTGATGTTAAAAAGCAAAAAGCCTCACAATAAATTCACGTTCAGTTTTAGCGACATAATCTAAAATCTAAAAAGTTAAGGTAAAATACAGATTTTCCATTGGATACATCAGTTTAGCAGGAAATAAAAAGCATGCTCATATTCCAGTTATACAGTTACTATGAATGTGAAAATGTTGCAGACAAAATGATTGCCCATGCATATCCCAACTTAAACATTAATACTAGTGCTCCTCATATATTGCCGCAAATACCTAATGATATGAATTGTTCTCATGTTGCAGCATGTAGATACTGTTTCTGTGCTAATGGAGTTTCCCTCACATCTTGGTGCCAGATTCATGAAAATAAAAGAGAAACTGACCAACTTTCTAGATTAAAAGTTATTCTACCACTCAGAAGCACTCAGTTGACTTTCATTACTACCTATCAGTTAGTAATGAAAGTTTGTATTAGTTCGTTTTAGTTTATTTATATATAACTGCTATTCATAACATGTTATCTCAAAACAAAAAAAAGAGTTAAATCAATTGAACCATACAGAATCCAAGTCAAGTACATGTTTTAAATTGTTACCTAGTTATAGCATTCCAGTCAAATTCACACTTCAAGCTGGGTGTAAAGAGATTGATTGATTTTCTTTTAAGGCACTGCTGACACGTCTGCTGTAATTTTTCACAAATCATTTTGTTTTTAACTTCTCAGAGTCTCTAGAAACCATTAATTAGTCATCTATTAATTTGTATATTCTTGTGATAAAAATAGTTAAACTCACACATAGTCCTACTTCTGCAAGAAAGACTTGCCCTGTTGGTTTAAGAAAGCGGTAGCAGCATTAAGCTGTTAAACATGCTGTCAGAAAGATTAAACACAGCTGAAAATAATGAGTCTAATTAGGCTGACTTTGCAGCTGAACATTCTCAGAGTTGTACAGAAATATTTTTCTTACAATATGTTTCCTCACATTCCTATAAATATGCCGTTTACCGAAGGTAACTTGGAATCCTGTCATAAAAAAAACCCAAACAGGAATTAAGAAAATAACGGTTAACAGCCAATATATGCAGGTCTGGCTTGTTTTTCGCACAGCTGATAGAGATGAATAAAAAGACAGAAAATATTTTCATCTTCTGTTCCAGTAAAATAAAAAACACACTAAACAACCAAACATTTAATATCATTTTATTTATTCAGATAGCAAAAAACAAAACTACCATTATAAAAAAAAGAATTTATCGCCAATACTAAAATGAATGCAGCTGAAGTCTGTTATAGAGTCGTACATTTTTGATGAGTTTAGGAACTTCGTATCAGTGACCCAGAGCGTCCCATTTTTATGGTGCATGAATATATCGCCTAAGCACTGAGATCTTTGCTGGAGGACGATTAGTGAGGGACGTTGAACCTCCTCAGAGTGCATAAACATGAAATCCACTGCCTTTATTGGCCATCTTGGTGCCCAGACTTAAAACCTGTAGAAAATCATTGGGAAGCTAAAAAACAAAAAACAAAAAGAGACTAAAAGTGCACTTGGTAACCTGTATACTGCAACCATTAACTGCATTTTCCCAAATCAGTTGTACAACATATTTCTCACTGAGGAGTTTTATTTGTTTGTCTTTTTTTATAACGCTGACTAAAAGAAGTTTCACCCTAAAGCATCTTACAAGAAAATGACAATGTATAATTTAAATTCAACAACAATTTAGTCATTATTGTACAACAGAATAATCGTTGAAAAAAACTGTTGCTCTGAGGATTGCTGACCCCTGGTTTAGTCTTTGCAGCGCTAATGAATTGACGCAGAGGAAGTGCTTTTATATTCAATCAAGAGTCAAACTCATGAGTCTTTATTTTGTGGGTCTGAAGCTAAACATTTGAAATCCACTGAGATAAGAAAGTTTTTGAATGAAATGTTTTGATGCATATGATGTAGCACAAAGTAAATAATCATAGTTCTAGTTCTAATGTTTAAGTCTTTTTCTATTTTTCATTTTTTGCAATCTTATGTCTTACTGTGAAATTAACAGTCAACTAGGGAGACTGTTAGGCCCTGGTAAACCTCTGCCCTCAATTAGCTGGCTTTCTATGCGTTGTGTCTCCAGCCTGTTGAGCTAGTTTAAATGAACCTAACAACAGAAAGAAGCATGAATTGCTGCCAGCAAGCAGCCCGGCTCTGTTCCTTTCGCTACAAAAACTCCTTCTGAGCCAGGGAAGACCCCCTCTGTCGCCCGGCAGATGGCCCTTCGTCTCCTTGCCAGCCGAGGCGCCGTGGCAGAACTCTGGCGCTTTGTCATAGTCACGTTCGCCGGCTGCTCCCATCGCACAGCACCCTAAGGCACAAAATTTGTAGAGGCTTTGCCACTTCCTCTCCCCCGATACTTTAGGCAGCCTGACACTTCGTTTCCGCGGCATCGACTCCAGTCCGCAACATGCTGAGCAATGAACACACTGGGTAATGAGCAGAATTTGTCAATCAGGCATGGTGCAAGTCCCCAGACAGTCTTTTTCATATTGCCAGGAGCAACTTCACGCCGCTGTCGTCATAGAGCCATCATTACGTTTATTTGAAAGTATTTTTCATTTTTTTGCTGTGAGCATCTTAGACATTTGCTCCTCACCTCGCTACCTTACTTGTTTGCTAGTTGTCAACCTCTCTTGTGTGCCCGGCTGTCTTCACCAAGCTCTCAAATGAGTATGACACATTTTGACAGCAAATGAAATCTTTTTCCTCTTGGTGCCGAACGCAGGCAGAGAAATTGGCAAGGCTGAGCTCATCAGCAGCAGCGGGTCTCAACCCCAACGCTTACATGGCTGAGTAATTTGTAGATGTGAGGAAGGATTTCTCTCTGTAGGAGCCAACCCTTCAGAAAGCTTTGAAGTACTTTTTAGGGCATGTTGTTATTTTCATTTGTGTGATTTTAATGCAAAAGTTAATAAATTCGTGGCCTGCTCTTTGCAGCGAGAAACCCAACATTTTTTTCCATCTAACATTAAATATGGGAAATAGCTGAAAGTACAGGTGCATATCAAAAATAATCTGATTTAAAGGAAAACTCATTAATTTCTGCACTTTTAATTAAAAAGTGAAGTTCAAGTATAATACGTATTAATTAAACACATGGTGCTTAATGAATTTGGTTTTATAAGTAGATTTGTATGATTATGGCTTTCAGCTAATGAAAACCATGAATTCAAGACCAATAAAAAAGTTTCTTTTTAATAGAAAATTCCTCTGACTAACTGGTTGTTCACAGTGAATGTCATTTGCAAGCAAATTGATAAAAAAAAAATAAAAATAAGAACAGGGAAAAACTAGAAGAAAGAAATGTCAGTAACAAAAAAGAAGATCTGCTGCCTGGAATAGATTTTGAATTACGAAACCAAAGCATGCATGCAAGATCAGAAAGTCAATGTTTCATTTTCCCCTACTTCATTTTGATTTGCAGTTGGACGAGACACCTAACCCGTTTTTGATTGGTGCTGTAGGAGTATGTGCTGGCCTGTAGGTGGGGCTAAATAAATGAGACCTTGTGAAGTCAGTAGAGTCAGAAAGAAGGCATAGATGTTGAGTCTGCTTAATATTAACAGGACTGCAGTATTTGTTCTCAGTTTCTCCTACCGCTGAACTGTTTGTTGGCCCACTGTCAGGACTGCAGTCCCCCATGATCTTTAGACCACAAAATAGTCATAACATAACCAATAAGGGTTTAAAATTCCTTTTATTGGACTATAACTTTACTATAACTTTCTGAGAAAAAAAATATTGTTATTTATATATTCGCTGTAAAGAAAATCTTGAACCATATTACTCCAACTGAAATAACTAAATAACACACAAGTTTTGCTCTTTGAATTAGAATTACTAATTAGAAGATATGCCCCTCTAATCTAGGGTCTTTTTAAATGAGAACATTTTACCTCTGAGAACAGCCATTGCTCAAAGTTGTTGTAGCCGCTGCTAAATTTAGGGTGAAATTTCCAAACAAGATTGTAGTGTGTGAAGGAAAAAGGTGGGATCGATGCAGCATAGTGAGAGACACTGTGACATTATCCAACAGCCATCACATATCTTCCCAGGATCAATATGTATGCGGTCCACCATCTCCTCCTGCAGGAATCAAATGACCCGAGAAGAAAATTGTCTGAAAAGAAAGAAACAATTCTCAAAAGGCGACAGAAATAGAAAGATTAGAAGAGAAGAAGAATGGTTTAGTGAAAGGAATTGTTAGATTTCAGCCTACTGATGATGGTCTTTTCTGAATTGATTTATATCAACATAATTGAGTTGGGTTTTTTTTTCTTCTGCTTCATTAATATGCATCCAAAGCATTAAATGTCATGGAAGTCTTTAACCTGATAAGCCACGAGCTGCAGTTAAAGGAGAAGCAGCATGATGTCAGTTTTTCTGCTAGAAACTGACTAGGTAATGAATCTTTAGAGACACATTGTGGGTAAACAGTATTTTCTGGTAAAAGGTTTTGCTGTCCATAGCTCACCTCTGTCGGCTGAGCGACAGCAAAGCAATTTTCCCTCCATTTCTCTCCCGAAGTAAAACTCAAGTATCCTTTTGTGCTTCTGTTTTCCTCTCTGTCCCTTCCCTCTCTTCCTCATCATCATTCTCCCTCCATCTTCCTGCTGTTTGCTTTCCTCTCCTCTTACCCCTGTCCTTGCTCAGTCTATTGATCCAGGCCAGCAGTTTACCTGGGAAAACTCCAACATGGAAGTGAACAAGCCAAAGAATCGCTATGCAAACGTTATCGCCTATGACCACTCTAGAGTGGTCCTCACCTCTGTTGATGGTGAGTGCTCTTCACTCCTTACCGGCTGATATTGAGTGAGGCGGTTGTTTATTTAGACCCACTTCACATGTGCTAAGAGATATTTTAGTCTGATTTCTCATAACAGCGATGTGCTATTTGCCCTTTTCATCTTTGCTGCAGCTGTTCCAGGCAGCGATTACATCAACGCCAACTACATTGATGGCTACAGGAAGCAGAATGCCTACATCGCCACTCAGGGACCTCTGCCAGAGACTCTGAGCGACTTCTGGAGAATGGTGTGGGAGCAGAGGGCCAACACCATTGTCATGATGACCAGATTGGAAGAGAAGTCTCGGGTAAGGAGAGGTTCTGTGAACAAAGTAATCATTCAAAGATTCACTGCTGGGGTCATGCTGAAATATTAATTTTAATTACTGAGGCATTAACTGAGATCACAAGTTCACATTATCAGTCAGATCAGGTAACATTACAATCCATCAGGAGTCTTCCTCTGTGTTCCCTTAATAATGCAGACGTTTACCTCAGGAAGTAGGTTTATAAAGTCCTGTAAACATTTTCTTAATTTTCTTTTCTTCTCAAATTTATTTGTCACGAGAATCCTGTATGAACATCTGGAATCCTGCATAAACTGATGAAAATTTTTATTCCAAGTCCATAAAACTCCTCCTGTATACCATTTTTGCACGTTTTAAACCCAAACAAAAAACATCTACATCTATTTTTTTTTCTTTGGAGCTACAAGTTCAACATATGAAATGTGCATTTAACCAGGTGATAATCTCTCATTACGTCTTCTTAACTATTTCAGTTTCAGTCATTGTAACCCCTGATTTTTTCCTGATTAACTATAGTATCCTTAAGAAGACAAACATGCCTAAGCCTGAGAAAGATTTTCACAAACCTTTAAGGGAAATTAGTAAAGCAACTAATAAATTATAACTAGCAGTGAAACTACACAATAAAGGTCCAACATTATTAACAAAGATCAAAGTTTTAATAAACCTTTATTGACATAGGCTGTGCTCTACAATTAACTTTTTTTTTTTTTTATTATCCAATTTTAGATTTTTCTCCAATCTAGAATATATTTATGACTTTTTCTCTTTTGTAAAAACAAAACGGATCCTAGCATTGTTTTATTTATTTTTAACCTATGCACAGAGAGCATTGACAACACTAGTAACAATTGAACCAAACATTTATCTTGGCAATGATCAGCTGAGTGAAAACAAAATGAATCGGTTCAGACATCCCATAATGTCGTAGGATGGCTGTCCTGTTGGAGGTGAAGAGGTTGGAGAAAGGCTGCACTCAGTTCTTAACATTGACACATAGCAGCTGGGCTATTATAGCTGCAGAGCGTGAGCTCCCTGTCTGTGGTGCGCGTCATTCCTCAGAAAGTTCTTTATGTTTGTCTCGAATCGCCTGAACCCAGAATGTAAGCATGTAAGTTTTTATAACTTCTTACGTCTTGGTTGATCCTGTTAGACATTTAGCTTTGTCTGCAATAGAAACGTCCAAACCAAAGATTTTTTATTAGTGCTCATGTACAGTTTGATTCCTGATCAGGAAAAAAAGAAAAGATTTTTGAGCTTTCAAATAAACTGTATCCAGTTAAGGCCTAAAAAAGTGGAAATTTGGCTAGCTCTGGGGGCTTTTCAGTGCTAACGCACAAAATCCATCATGCATTTTTTTTTTTTTGAAAGTTTAAGCACTGTTGAAATATCAGCGACAGATTCGTGAATTAGAACTGGTCTTTTTTATTTTTGGTTTACATGATTATATTTTAGGTTAGGAAAGGTTTGGAGGTAGGTGTAGAAAAAGGGAAAAATGTTATTACAAGTCGGCCCAGATGGGATTAAAAAAAACAAAACTTTTTTTTTAACCAAATCAGAGGCTAACTTCATGACTGTGTTGCATGAAGGTTTTCAGAACCATGCAGATAATATAAACCTTATTAGGTTACAATTTTGTAGGGTTGTGGTAAAAAAGCGATTTGGCAATATAATGTGATTTTTGGCGACCCAATACAATATCAATCCTTAAGTTCCTAATATCGGTTCCACACTTCCACACCACCGCTCCGGTAGACGGGGCCCTGGAGACCTTTTGCTTTGCATATAATAGAGGCAATCACAGTACCAGATGCTGAGTGTCTCAAACCCTAAACAACATGGATACCAAAAAAACAAAATAATTGAATGGTGAATATCTTCTGCTAAATATACAGCACCTGTTTTTTATATCTACATTTAATTCTTATATTAGCTGAGTATCTTGATATTGCAATTTGTGACAATGTTGTATCGTAACCTAAGTATCGCGATCGTATCACAACACCTTGCCAATACTCTTTTGTTCTCAGATATCCACAGTTTGATGCTCAACCTGGAAAGGTTTTAACCTTAATATGTAATACTTTCTATAAACGAACAAGAGAGAATCTCTGCAGAATAGGTTGCTTCACGGTGAACCTGACCAGCTGATGTTTAGGAGCTGAAAGGTTTCCAACCATATTGTTATCCACAGCTCTACACAAAGGCCTCTTAACGCCTGAGAAAGCTTGCAGGCATGCAGACACATGGTCCCACTATAAGGCTGGATTTGTCAACTGGATCAAAGTCAGCAAAACTTCAAAGTAAACTTTTTGATTTCAGTGTGATTTTTTTTGTTGAATGTCTTAGTGAAGGAACATTGAGCTGCAGCTTAGTGCTGCTGCTCTATTCTCCCTCCTATTGTTTGTTTGCTACTTATGGAGGTAGAGATGCAACTTTGCATACCAGAGCAGCAGTTGCACAGCCGCCTATGAACGAAAGAACATTTTCAGCTAAATTACAGCATACACAGGCTCATTGTGGATATTTTTAGACTTTCATTATAACCCCAGCTCCGTCATTATTTAGAAACTGCTCCAGGAGTTTGACTCTCGATTGCTGCTTGCTTATTTTTATAACACCATAGCGAAGGTTTCGCAGAGTCTCATTTGTATTGCTTTTTCTAAATTTGGTCCTACAGAGTTGAAGAGCTCCAGTCAGACTTCTTATGTTTAAGATAAAGTAAATTGTCAACATTGCCGTGCTCCTTAAATATATCTCGGCCTAATAAAGGCAAAAACAAATGAGCGCTCGATAACTTGAGATTTCAAACTGGAACGGATTTATTTAATTACCATTGGAAAAATGCTCACCAATTCCTTGGAGAGAAGAAGACAGCGTGAAGTCCTGCCAGTATGTGGTGCTTTATTAGAGTGTGCACACAGCGGCCTAATGAAAGAGTCCCAAGACTAAAAAACAAGACAGAAAACAACTCCAAGTAGCAGCAAATGTAAATGAAAAAGCTCATTTAGAAAGATTCTCTCCTTGGTTTGCAGCAGAGGATCATCACCTCTGGCTTCGGTCGTCTAGATCTAGTCTAGACTGACGATACAGGAAAGTAATTGTTTTTATTAGATACCTAAATTGTTTCCTATCCTTAAAAGAAATATATGTTTATATTTTAATTCGTAGATATCAGGGCAATCAGTTGTTTAGGCAAACTAAGACCTCACTGCAGCTCCTTTGGTGCTGAGCTTATTTTATCTGCACCTTTGAGAATATCTTCAGCTCAGATATGTTTGATTACTAGAGTTTTATTACGCAGCTGTATTCACCAACGTTTTTCTACATATGAAGAGTGTCTGAGAGGCAATTAGAGACAGACTGTCCCTCTTTGATCCCAGCACCGTGACTGCACATCCACACTTAAAGATTAGTTCAAACACAAACACACAAAACTTGGTGAAAAACATAAGTCCTGCATGTTTTTGAAGTGTTCCTGATCCAAGAAAGCTCAATTGAATGGTTTTAATCATATTCCCTGGTCATTAGTGGCCAAAAGAACAATAATGGTTTATTTATTGTCAGATACAGTGAATTTATAACGCATTCTTTTGTAAAGTAACATCATTATATCATTGATTATTTATATAATTCAATATTTTACATCAATAGGTATATACGATTGTTGATATACAATCAAACAAAGTAATTATTAAAGGGTGATGATGAAATACAACATTTGAAAAGTTAAACAGGAATGTGTATCTTAAATTTGTATTCAGCATCTCTTAAACTGATTTTAATATGTAAGTACAGTATTTTATTTTTATTTTTTATGGTTCTGTGCAGCATAACGTGAATGCAATTCAATCAGTGGGAGGGGCTGACTCTGCTCCAAACAAGTTGTTTGGTCTACTGTTGAGCTGCTATGCATGTTAACCAATCAGATATCATGTTTTACTTGACCAGAAATAGGAACATGTTTAAGCACAGAAATAGTGAAATCATTTTAAAATAGGCTATTGAAGTAGAAAAAGATATTGTAAATAATCTTTTTTATTTGTGCTTTCAATAACATATTGAGATTTATAGTTATTTATATATTCATGCATTTTAATTCCTATTTATTGAATTGATCATCCTAAAGTAACCATGGCGACATCTAAACCTCAAATTGTAGCTCCTACCTCCTGTTCTTAGCTCCTATCCCCTCACCTATGGCCTGGTTAATAGTTAAAAAATTCCAGAGCAGGAAATGAGGATACTGCTGTGCTGAATCCGGACAGCCTTCAACTTCACAAATGTATTCGTTACGCGACAGAAACGCACATGAATGATGCTTTTCAAATGAGGACTGAAGCCCTTCAGAAAAGAACTACAAGAAATACAATAAAGTGAACTGCTGAAGCGCCCTGTTATAAAATCCCAAACATATTCAAATACAGACTACAGTGAAGAAATAATGTGTTTCTGCATCCTGTCACTAAAAGGGTTTTAGGCTCCTGAGGTGGATAGGAACATCAGAAGGTTCCTATGCTAAAAGAACTGGCACCAGCAAGCATCTTGTTTCCTCCTCCTAGCTCTTTCCTCACTACTAGCACTGCCCATATAGCACTTATTATGGTGTCTGCTGAAGCACCTTTACTACAGCATAAATGTCCTTACCAGTTTGAGTTAATCCGAGTGAGCCAGAGTTTTACTAGCGACCCAGCGACCCATGAAGGATATGGCCCAAATCTAGAAGGCCTGATATGTCTAAGCTTTTCCAAAACCTTTTTATACATTTTAAATAATTATCTATGCAGAAAACAACAGCAGAAGTATATTTTTTCCTACATCAGACCAAAATAACTCCAGGTGTTTAAAAAGGGAGTCATCATCCGCCTTCGTCTCAAACTACGACACTGTGGCTAATTCCAGTCTTAAACAGATGTTGACAGCTGCAGAAAGCCATATTGTTCAGTTTTATAATACATTATTTAGATTGTGTTACTCTAAGCAGCTGCGCCTATGAATCACAATTAAAGTCTTCATTCTAATGAAGAGAAAATGTTTAGTGAAGTCACAATTAAACGTTTGTTGCAAGCTTTAAAGACTTCCCAAAGCAGTGCGGGGCCGCCAACACTCTGCCAACAGCAGATTGGACTGATTAAAGTGCCTCGGCACGGAAAGCATTACACAATAAGGGGAACCATCTTAACAAACACCGGAAATGCATAGTGTTAGAAAAGTAGCTAATAAAATCAAATGTGTCTTATAATTTCCTAATGACGGACAGCTGCCTGTTGTGCTTACATCACACTCTTCCTGCCTCTTAAACATTTTTATTTAGAGTTGTTTTGCAGTCTCCACCAGTTAGCACCATTCAGAATGATTGTTACCTACAGCCTTGTATTTATTTTTGTTTTTTGTCTTTTTCACTTGATATAAATATAAGCAAATTGAGGTAAGTCGATTGTTTTGCAATCATTCCGCTATTTTCCTGTCTTTAGGTTTGCTTATAGAGTTAAATAATTGTTTGGTGTCATTCTCCTACCACACAGAAAAAGGATGGCAGAGATTACTGATTATTTACAACGTTTTAATTTCAGAATGCCTTAGTCATGTGCAGTGCCTACCAATTTTAGGTTATTTGAAAACATAACAGTTTTTCTGTTTTCAAAACTTTTCAGATGATTTAATGATACTAAAAAACTAATTTTTCAGAATTAAAAAACACAAATCAATGTAAACAAAAATCTGCATTGCATGGAAGGATTATATTTTTAAACTTCCTTAAACTAAACGTAAAACATGCTTTTTCTTCCTGTGAAAAAAGGCCCTCGGGTGCATACTGTGAGTGAATGAGTCAACCCTCCAGTGACCAGCAATGCTTACACTTTCTGCTAAATACTGCTGCAGCTTAACAAATACGATGCGATCTGACAGCGGGCAGATTTTGGCTTCCTCTTGCCCTGTCATTACAAGGGAGTAAAATCTCAAAAGGTCAGGGGTTGAAATGAGATCACAGGTACAAGCTACTGTGCATGTGTGTAGATCAAAGGTCTCCAGCTTCTGCAAAAAAGGCCAAGTGATGAGATGTGGGAATTAAAGTTCGAAGCGAAGGTAGATGATTGTTGAACGTGGATCCTGCGTGTGTGTCAGTCAGAGGGGCAGCATAGCACCAAACCTCAGACGGCACAGATATATTCATTACCGAGCTGTCTGCTAATCCATATGCTTGTGGTGCAAGCAGCTCCCTATCACTCAATTGAGTTTCTCCCCTGCAAGCGCCGCCTCTGCCCCTGAATGGAAGCTGTCTCCAGGGGAGGTGAAATGTGAGGAAAAGAATTTTAGCACATTTTGTTTGTCAATTTGTACCAGCTCGCCGAGGCAGCCAAAGTGCTTCCAAATGTCAACTCGGCGCCATAGCATCAATACGATTAGTTCACCCGCGGCACATCCTTTTCCTCGCGCGACATCTGAATCAATGGCTCGACGTTCTACTCCCTGCAGTAGGAGCATTAAAGGCTTTCTGAATATTTCTTTTTGTTGTTCCTGGAGCTCTGTATAATGACTCCTTATTTCAACACATTTACAAGTGTTTTCCATTTTCATGGCTACTCGTCCAGAGTGCTTGTAACATTGAGAATTTCCTCTGCTTCTTGTTAAAAACATGTCTGGCAGGATAAACAATAAGGAATGATTTTGTAAGGTTTTAGTATTAAAAACATCCTGGGAGACTCCGCTGAGCCCCGAGCCAAGGCCAATCAACCAACTCCTCCAAATGCTGAGATAATGATGTGGCTCATCTCCACTGTGAACTCTGACACCTTGTGGATAGTTGTTAGATACTGTGATGGAAACACTAACTGGAAATTAGCTTTGTGCAGTTGCATGAACTGTGTTGAGTCATCCCATGCTGTATCAGTGCCTTTTGAGAACCAGAACCAAATTCCTTTAACACGCAGTAATGTGGTTCATTAATGTGAGGAAGAGGTTGTATAGATGTCAAGGTGAAGGCCAAAACAGCCTTCAATCTTTATTACAGTCCAAAGCTAATTGCTAATTAAGACGCATCTAAAGTCTACTTTATTTCATCAGGGAGTTTGCTCTGCTCATTTGTTGCTTTTAAAAAGTATTCACATCCTTGTATCTTAACTACCATCAGATGTGGTGTATTTCGTTAGGATTTTATGTGTTGGACCAACAGAAAGCTGCAGATAATTGGCCTATATTTACATTAGTCTAAGCAGGAAAAGGGCAGAGAGAAAAAGGAAGACATGCAGCTAAAGGTTGCTCTGAGCAACAGCTTCCATATTTGGTTTGCCACCTCTACTTCTGCCCCATCCCTGATCCCATCTTTTTTGAGAAGTTCTTCCTTCCCTGCTGAAGAAGCTAAATTCCCACAATAAGTTATTATTCAGTTTCCATTGTTTATAACGTTTTGTAGAAAGGCTTTAAATTGCTTCTTGTCACTCTTTTACAAAGGCCAGATATCTGGAGGATTTGTTTATTTGATGTTCTCCCACCTGAGCTTTTGATTTCTGTGGCTCCTCCAGTGTAACTATAGGTTATATTAAGGTTATCCTTAAGGTGTTCACCATATATCCCTCTCCTGGTCTGGATGTTGCATTTTAATAACTAATCATCTCTATCAAACCTCCGAGGTCTTCAGAGATCAGCTGGGTTTGTTTTGAGAGTAATTATTTATTTATTTATAAGATTACCTTTAAAGGCTATTGGTTCAACTGGTTTTAATAAAAAAACAAAATGTAACCCTGTATAATTTCCTATCAGTTTGAAAATGTGTTCAAGTAATGACATAAAATCCCCTGAAGATTGTTGTATGAATCCAGGTGCTTCATTACAGACAGAAACTGGCATTTAGACACATTTCAATCCATCCATCAGAAATGCCTCCTACAGCTTATATGACAAAGGGCCTGAAATCACTGGACAATTCCCTAATTAAAACTGATCAGAGGCTGATGAAAGACAAAGTACCCATGTGCAGCATGCTTCAAATAGAGACACACACGAGTGAGCATGTAAAGGCCTGGTTCACTGGCGCGCCTTGTTTCTGTGATTCTGGAGCGGGCTCACAGTCTTCAGCTTCTAATTAGACAGTGGACAGGCGCTTTGATGTGACCTCTTTAATATTCCCTCCTTGTTAATCAGCATGATCCTGCACGGCCTCTGTCTAGCCTTCTATGGGATATTAACAGCGGCTCAGCAGCCCTAACACTCTCTCTCTCTCTCTCTCTCTCTCTCTCTCTGGCCAGGTGAAATGTGACCAGTACTGGCCATCACGAGGAACAGAGACCTACGGGATGATCCAGGTCACCATGTTGGACACTGTGGAGCTGGCAACCTACAGCGTCCGAACATTTCTCCTCTACAAGGTAAAGGCCTGCATGTTCGCCATCTTTCTTGCATCTCATTGTAAAGGGCTATGAATTATCTTGTTTATTTTTAGAGGTGAGTATAATTCTTATATGACAAACTACATTATTTTTGTCATTATTCTAAGGGGGAAGAATATGTGAAACTATTTATTGGATTCATTTCAATAAATAGCTTCACTTATTTTAGTCAGTCTAGAGCTGAGTTTGTTGAAAAAGAAAACAAGAAAAAAAAAGGACACATGGAAGGATGGTTGGGCCGGTAATTGTGCACAAGAGGCATGTAGCATCTGAGCCTAAAGCGCCAGCAAACAAGTAGAGGAAGAACGGAAAACAAACTGACCCACAGGAAAGAGAGCAAGGTAATGATATACAGCAAAGCTGGATCATTTGTGGGGTGTGAGAAGAGAGATGAAATCAGTTCAAATTGTGCCTTTCGGATTGAAACTGCTCAGCTCCTTCTCGGGAAAACAGTGGGAGCTTTGTATGTCAAAAGAAATGTTGGCCACCATTAAAAACTCTGTTTTAAAAAGCCGCAATATTAAGGTATCCTTCTAAGTCCAGCCATCTTGGTCCTCCTGCAGAGCGGTTCCACCGAGAAGAGGGAGGTGAGACAGTTCCAGTTCATGGCCTGGCCCGACCACGGGGTGCCTGAGTACCCCACACCCATCCTGGCCTTCCTACGGAGAGTAAAGGCCTGCAATCCTCCAGATGCAGGACCCATGGTGGTCCACTGCAGGTGAGTGAGCACAGAAAGAAGCTGTCAATACTTAGTACTGGATTTTGATCAGTGTACTTTTTTTCTGACAGTGTTTTGCAACCTTCAGCTTTCCAGATATTTTTTAAGTTTAAACATTAAACAGTTGAATATATTAGTTTTAATGTAATAAACATGTGAATAAGGCATGCATTTCATTTCTGCTCATTTTACTGGTGGTGCTGAATAGAATAGAATAAAACAAAATAGAAATGTTCTTTTCTGCCTCATACAGGGGAAATTTACCAGCAAAGTGAACGACAAAGTGATCAAATATAAATATAAACAATAGTAGTAATACATTTTACAGTAAATGCAAATGCACAAGATTAGAAACATGATGCTTTACATTTACTCAAAAAGCATGCTCATATTAGTCGAATTGTACATCTTAGTGGGGGATTTTAAAAAGAATGGCAAAATCTATCTGTATATGTGTGCATTTAAAAAACTCCATCTAGTTGTTTGTTTTAACATGAGAAAACATTAATATTTAAAAAGTAAAGATAGTTCTACAAACGACTGCTTATAAAACCAACTCTTAGCATCAGTTTTTTTAAGGTTTAAGTAAATAAAAAGCAGTAAAGTGATAACACTTTTCAAAATAGTACCAAACAAAACAGAAACAACTTAAGCAGCCTTTAGTGTAAGAAAACAAACAGCAGCACAAAGGACATGTAATGGTCCTTTGATCAATGGTGATTTGTGAATTTACATCTAGTTTGCAGCGCTAAAGTAGTTTTATTCGTTTTAGCATTACAACTACTGTCTTTACAGTATTTTACAGGGATTTTTTTTTTATGTGAAAGTCCCACATTACGTGGTGCATAGTTGTGGAGTGAATGGTAATGGGATTCCTCTTTTTTAAGAAAGTTTTAAAAATGATGCACCATGATGGATGGTGTGTGCAGGGCGATGTGTAATGTAAGTGGATAATTGGGATTTTGAAGGCAAGAACAATGCTTGCTTTTCAAAAACATTAAAAATTAGGAATCTAAAAAGTATTGCATGCAATTATTTCATTAAGCGCCCTCTACACTTACCTAAAAAAAAAATCCGGTTTGTTGTTGTAAATTTGAAAACTTTATAAACTCCTAAGGGTATGGAGAAATAGTTTTTTAACTGCCTCATTTTTTTTTTATATTCAAAGTAATAAAATGAAGCTATAAAACCCTGAAACTCTGAAATTATGTCTCTAAAACAATAGGAAGTGGATGTGACAATAAAAAAAACAGAGTAGAGAACAGTGTTTTGTTCTCAGCAACTGTGCTTCTCCTTTAAATGGCGCCGCTGTTGGATTGCTGCATGCATGTTGCAGCCAGCCTGAGGTAAAGGCTCATTTGTACTTGTTTGTGAATGCAAACATGAATAGTGCTGTGCATCACAATCCAGAAGGTATGCATATTTTCATAAATGCGCCATTTGGATTTTTTTCTACTGGTCCTCACTGATAATACAATCTGGAAAAATATACTTTGCTAGATTGGATTTTCTGAATTTCTGCTTTTCCACACTATGAGGAGCTTAAGAACATTAAAGATTAAGCTTTTTGTTGTTAACATGGGTGAGCTTTCCAAAAAAGACAGGTGAAAAATTATCTAATTTCAAGTGCAGACATCCCACTTCCAATAGACATCGACAACAGCATCAATCTGCAGGGAAAGGGGAGAGGCTAAGGTGGAAATTGTTACATTTACAAGCAACCATTGAGTCTGTCTTCAGTATGTTGTTTTAAAGCATCACAATAAACTATCATACTTAGAAGGTTTAACACACAGTAATGGTATACGTCATTTTTTTCAACTTTCAAAGTCTAACAGCTCATTATAATATTTGTGTAGCTACAGCTTAAACAATTATCTCCCTCTATCTCCCTCTGACAGTGCGGGCGTTGGCAGGACCGGCTGCTTCATCGTGATCGATGCCATGCTGGAGCGCATGAAGCATGAGAAGACCGTGGATATTTACGGCCACGTGACGTGCATGCGTTCCCAGAGGAACTACATGGTCCAGACCGAGGACCAGTACATCTTCATCCACGAAGCCCTTCTCGAGGCCGCCACCTGCGGCAACACAGAGGTGCCAGCACGCAACCTGTATGCTCACATCCAGAAACTCACACAGCCTCCGTCTGGTGAGACCGTCACCGCCATGGAGTTGGAGTTCAAGGTACAGTTCCTTCTAAAATTACCCGTTTTTTTTTTTTTACAATTTTTTTTTTTTACACCAACATCAGTGTATCTTATAGGGTTTGTGCATAATAGATCAGCACAAAGCGGTTTATAATTGCAAAGTGGAAGAAAATGGAACATTTTATGTGATTAAAAATCTTAAAATGTTACCCTAAAGCAGGGTAAGGTCAAAAAATATCCCAATCTTTGAACATCAGTTCATCATCTGCAAATGTGAACATTATGGCACAAGAGTATGTCTAACAGTCCTAAACTGATGCATCAGGGAAGGAGAACATTAACCAGCAAGCAAATGCAACTCTGGCAAAGCTTCAGAAACCAGCGCTGTGACAAATTAGACATGCACGGATACAGATCTAGCCTAAATGGAAGAGGTGCTAGCACAAAGTTATCTTTGTGGCAAAGATACAGAAACCCCTGCGTACAGGGTTCACAGCAAATGTTGAAGAAGTGGCTCCGATTTGATGAGGATAGAATTTGTAGATCAATATGGAAACTTTCCACTGTTAATTCCTCACTGTGAAACACAGCGGTGGAAGTATGATGGTGTGGAGTTTCTTTCCTTTATTAGAGACAGTAAAGCTTGTCAGTTGATGTTGCTAAACTAAGCTAGATCTTGAGAAATATGGACTGAATTAAAAGTTAACATTCCTGGATTTTATTTTGGGACAGCAGAGGAAAAATGACTTAATCAAAACACTTTTCTGAGTTTATGTACAACTTAACAAACCATGAATCTTTTGGTTCTTTTTCACCACACTTCTATACTCTATTGTGTACTGGTATACCGAATGGATCCGGAGACATGTAAATCTGTGGTTCAAGGGGTGTGAATACTTTTATGGGTCACTGTAATCTACCAAACTAGCGGATGCTCAGGAATCTCTGTGACATTGGAGCGGAGGCATCATGAGCAGCTTCAGCACATCTCTTAGGATTAAATAAGCCAGAACAAAACACTTGTGAACACACCGACCCGGTGACAATTACAAAGTGACTGACACTTGCACATACACCCCTGCTGGTGCTCAAGGTCGCCGTCACACGGTGCACATACACTTTCCGTCAATAACCATCGACTGTGATGTTATTACACACTTTCCTCCCAGCGCATCCCTGCCATTAGCCCTCTTACGACCATGATCCATTCTGTTTGAAGTGATAATAGCATCTACACTCCTGCCAACAACCGAGAATGAAAGACTGAGAGGATGATGGTGGCGTACGTGCAGGGGCTAAGGCCTACACCCCCCCACACCCGCACCCCGAGTCTGGCCACAACACAGTCTCCTGCAGTAGCATGAGTGTCCATACGCACTCCTGTTCCGTCCATCTGCTCTCTGTCCGCTGCCAGCACCGTGTTTGTGACGCCTACGGTCCTGCAACCAAACTGGGACTTAATGGGAAGAGAAGTCAGCCACACTTGATTCAAGCTTCCTGTCCATATCTACAGAACAGCATGCACACTTTATAGTTTGAATCTTATACATGTCCTGACAGGAAACTGTGAATCTAAGTCTGGACCTGTCAGAAAAGATAGTTTCAAGCCCTCTTGTTCTTTTTTTTTCCCTCATGCCACTGCTTTGTTTTTGTCTGACTTTTAATGCCCCCTACTATGTTTTATTAAACAGAGACTGGCCAACTCCAAAGCGCACACATCACGCTTCATCAGCGCCAACTTGCCCTGCAACAAGTTCAAGAACCGGCTGGTCAACATCATGCCTTTTGAGTCCACCCGCGTCTGCCTGCAGCCCATCCGTGGCGTCGAGGGATCAGACTACATCAACGCCAGCTTTATTGATGGCTACAGGTCAGCAAAGATACTAAATAAATGGCTGTTGTTTATATGTCAATAAATATCAGGGGGTGGGGGAACTAATTCAGCAATGCAATGAGCAGCTAGAAATGAGAATAACTTTCAGGCATTGCTTTACTTCATGTGCTCTAATCTACAGTTGAAACATTCAATAGATTTCAAAATACTTAAGCATAATTTAGCCCAGATTCTATTATAAGGTGTTACAGTCTGCTGGTGTAACATCAGGGACTGATTGGAACTTAGCAGCAGTCTGAGCATCTTCCCATGGTATTGAAACTGATCCAAGAGGTTTATTTATTTCTTTTCTGCTGCACAAACTAACAAGCAAAAAAAGAAAACAGCCTGACTTGCTATGGCTCCGTGAGAGAGTTCAAAGCCTGGCTTTGGTAACGGTAAACTGGTGATTGATGCTTTTCAGACCTCAAAGGGAAAATAGTTTCTGTTGAGTCATAAACTTGAGGCAGACACTGACTGATTAGAGCTTGCAACTAAATACTTGCTCCTCTCCTATCTACAGAAGCAGCGCCCCCCCCCCCCCCCTCCCATGATTCATGGGCATGAATCATCTCCAAAGCTTTGTTGGCGCCCCTATCTGAAACAATTGCTAACACTTTTCCCTCTCATAAAAAAACAAATGGCAGCCTTCATGTTGCATACCTTAGTCACTGGGATGAATTGTCAGCTGAGAAGTTTATGTCTGCTTCCTTTAAGTGGGTTTTATTTTTAAAGTTAGAATAAGGGTGCTGAGGAATGTCTGACGGGAGTCCATCCGCCTGAAACTGTTTCCTTTGATAACCCTAAACTGGATCTAGGCGTCGATCCAGCTCATTTTCACAGCAGAGTTGTTTTTCTTCCTGAGGCGGATCATACAGGATGTATTACAGGCCTTTAATTTCTGAATCCTCTCTGTGTGCTTATGATTATAGGAATATGTCAAAGTTTTCTAAGCTCTTGAACTTTTACACATTAGCCACTTAGTTTTTTTTTAGCCTGTGACCTCATATAATTACTTAGCCCCTCATTCTTAGCTCTGCTCTAAATGATATGTCAAAATCAGTAAAACAGGACAGGATTTCTTCCTAAATTCCATTTATAGGCTGTAGAAAGAACTGCACAGACCTTTAGGTAAAGAGAAAAGGACAGCGCCTGTGGACATTTCATTTTGACAGCCTTGTTGGACGACTGCAGGCACCTACTGTGATCTATGGGAGACCTAAGGCTACCAGTCAGTTTTACTTAAACATTTCCAATTAGACTCTGGCGGATTGGAGTCTGGAAAAGCCTGGAATTTGATTTCAGAATTTCCTTGGTTAAGTTTTTGGTTTGAAGCATGGATATAAAAATATTCCCGGGTTGTAATTCTTTCTCCTAGTCTTCCTTTATTTATTTCCTGATGTCCTTCCTTACTTCCATGTCTTTCTTCTAACAAAACGCTAAACTTAAAGGCAACTGAACTGTAGCTTTTTTTTCTAAACATGCAATAACGCTGATCAGCCGGTTTCAGTAGAGAATCGCAGTGAAACAAAGCAGAGTTTAGTGGTTGCTGTTTTGAAGCACCCCTCTTCCTAGACGTTTTCCAGATTAGATGCAAACAAGCAACCTGCCCATCCCTCCTGTGGGTCATTAGTCTGTTGAGTAGTGTGAGCTCCACTTGGTCACCTGCATCCTTATGAGAATGATGATGTCATCTTTTTACTCAGGGTTGTATATTATTGCAAACATTGGTTTCTTTATGTCTTATTTCAAATGATGTTTGTCTGGATTTAAAGGTTCTCCTTTGCTCTTGAGGTTTCAGTGCCTGCTGAATCTTGCCCAGAGCTTCTAGCTCTAATGTGCTGTGCCGTGCGTTTTTCCAGTTCTTAGTTGTTTTGCCCTTATTTCTGACAGACTTATCCCCTCTCTTCCTTATTCCCTTCCCTCCTTCTGTTATCTATCCTTTCTTCCTTCTATCCTTTATTCCTTGCATTTTTCACACCTCGCTTCCTTCCATTCTATGGAAGGAAGTGATAGTGGTTGATGGTTAGGTCTAGTATATTGCAGACTAAAAAACATAACTAGAAAACTGAATCTGGAAAGTTCATGTGGAAATGTGTAGGAACACTGGTGCATTTTTCCTTTATTTTAATTTGGCAGGCCGGGTATTACCTTTGAATTTAAAAACCAATGTCCTGAAGTGCACAAGCAACTCAACTTGAAACGTGGCTGCTCTACTTTGGTGTGAATGATTGTCTAAAGGTGTGAGGAAGGCAGGAAGCTTTCACAGATAAAGCTGTGCAGGAGCGGATTATAGACAAGGCTGCAGCGGGCAGCAGCCAGCTGCAAGAATTACTCCCAGCCCCTGTCAATGTGGCTTTTCGTCCGCTGAGCCACGGCCACCGTTACACCGAGGCAGTTGCATGTCCCTGTGTGCTCCATGAGTCCAAATTGCTTCCTAGAGGGAAGAAGATGAAAAGGCAGCACTCTGTTTTATATCTCTATAAGTGCGGGGAGTGACAGACAGAGCTGGCTCTTCTGTGGTTTAAGTGAAGGGATGGATTTAGTGAGCGTGAAATGCCATTTAATCCATATGGGCTTCTGCTTCGTATTGGGCCATGACAGAGATGACACCTCCGCTCCCCACCTCCCAACTCCCCTTCTTCTTTCTGCAGCGCTGTTGTTAATAAGAAGGTGCTCCACAGAGGCCCACCCCCCTTTGTTGCTGTGTAAATAGCATAATTGAAGCAGGAGGGTTGTAATGAAGTGTGTTTTCTTCCCTTCTCCTTCTTTTTTCACACGTATTCACTTTCTCTCCTTTCCCTTTGCATTTCTTCCTCATTTTCTCTCTGTCTCCTTTGCACTCTTCTCCTCCTCCTACTCTCCCATCCCAATTTTCCTTTCTGAACATCATGGCAGAGACAGACATCCGGGCGGGGACCTGTTGTGTGCACCAGTAGCACTGTGTAATTAAGCTGCTTTTAAAATGCAGGCATAAATAAAAACTAAACGGAGGCCTCCAGTGCCCTTCACCCCAGCGCCTTCAAGAAAAGCCAATAATATACTAAGCTAATGAGAGGCAAAGCATCGATTCGAGCTCTGCTACAGAGGGCGCTAGCCCCGGTTATGCTCCGATGCAGGCTGGAGTTTTAGCATTGTAATGAGGTTGAAATGAAACAGCATGTCCTGAAGCTCTGCAGTCATATGGGATGAGGCAGAGAGAGCTTTTGTGCCGTTTGGCAGCTGGCTCATCGGGACGCTGCGTGTTAAGAAGTCAGTGTTGTACGTTATAGCTGAAATTGTTTACACTTGGGCAGGGGGATATTTTATGAGGACGGAAAAGGAGTCCACAGTATCAGTAAGAAATTTGGCTCACACGCTACTGATTGCTTCACTGGCCATCCGCCTTATCCCTTCGTTCTGACAGCTTCCTCCATTCTGTGTTTTTAATAGATCCAAGTCTGCAGATGCAAGGATTACCTTCATCCGTTTTATTTGTCGTGTTTGTTTCTTTTATTTTTTGTTTTTGTGATGAAACTAATTCTGCAAACTTATCCAGACTTCCTCAAGAAATCAAGTGCATATGGTTTAATAATGGTGGATATATTGTATATAAGCTTTTACCTCAAGGGCAAAGGAAAATAAGTGAATTTAAAGAACCACCAGTGAGGGCTGCCACACGATTGTGAACCAAGCATGCACCACTGCTGTGAAAATCAAGCACCTATGACGTAAATACGCAGCACTTACCTGGGCCACTTGGGGGCGCTAACAGAGGATAGAAATGTTATTCTCTGATGGTCAGTTTGTGTTTGAATATAAAGAGAAAAACAAGATGGTAGTTTTACGCCAACCGTAATGCAACCCATTAAAATCCACTATTATGATCATTTAACACTGGCTTTTTTAGATAATTTGAAAATATAATCTCAACTTAATCAAATAGAAAAGCGCATCATATTTAGATAACTTGTCTTGGAATTGGACAGTTATTCGAAAGATGACAAAACATTTACAAATGTTTATGTTAAAAATGTTTGCAATAAAGTCAGCAATAAATGAAGTTGCACATGTTTCATTTATAGTAAATAAATGACCATTAATAATAATAATAGGGACGGTTAGAAGAAAAAGAAAAGTACTGTGGGTGAGATGTGGGTAGGATTGGACCCCTTTTATAATGTGATCTGTTTTTGTACAACAGAAATATTCCGTTTACCAAATATGAAATATCTGAATATTTTGCCTTTTTAAATCAATGAGTTTTAGATTTGAGGCACAAGAACACAAGGTCTGCAAGCAACAAAGTGGACAGTTTGTGACGTTTAGGACGATTTCTCCTTCATCCTTTTCTTCTCCTTCCTCTCCTCCCATCTTCAGCTCAGAGACCTACATTGCACTGTGATGGCCAGCTAGAAAGAGCCACGGCTCTCTCTTTTACCGCTCCCTCCACCTCCTCTCTGTGCTTTGTAGATCTCTTTTTTCCCCTCCTAATTTTAATTTGACTCTGTCTCTTCCTGTATCCTCTCTTCTCTGTATTTGTAGCAGCGAGGCCCTGAGCATATTCTAATCTCTCGGTTCCATATTAGTGCTTCGCCTGCAGCACCTTCATTAGTTGTTCAGCCACGGCTCTGGGTATGTGCTTGCTTCAGCAGCAGCACATCTGAATATACATGCAGAGCTGCTGCTTGGATAAATACCTACACCTGGATGCAGGTTTACATGTGCTGCAAACATGTGAGTCTGTGTGCAATTATGCATGCACTTGTGCATTGGTTTCCTCTGATTCCCCTCGCTGGTGATAGGAGCACTGCTGCCACCTGCTGGTTATTAGCAGAACTGCTTTGCTGGACCAAAGTCACGTAGGACAGCAGCACTGCTATAGTATCTAAGAGGATGAGCTCATCTCCAGTTTGGTGAGCAGATCAAGTACCCTCCCTCCCTAATGCAGGATTGGGTTACAAAGAGGGAATGACAGAGAGAGGGGATGGATCTATACAAGCTTTGAATTGCTCAAAGAGGAGGACAGTTACCATAAATTATTTACCATGTATATGATGTACAAGAGCTACAGTATCTTTTGCTCACTCTCACTACTGCTTCTCCACAAACCTTTAGAGTTTAAGAACAAATAAAACAGGTCTGCTCAGCCCCCATTTTCAGGATTCTTCTAATTCTTTGTATATTTATCACTCTGCTATTCTCTTTCAGCTGTAGTTCTTTCATATTTAAACATAATGGGGAGTATAAGTCCATCCAAGTGTGCAGATACATTTATCTGCTTATAAGGTGTTCATGCATGACAGGCAACAAATCTACAGACTAATAAATCCTCTGTAATTAGGCAGACTTTGATATTTCCATTTATGTATTCTGCAGCTCTGCTAAAAGTATATGACTAATTCACTTCATAAAATAGTAAGTCAGTGGGCAGGGTTAAGGTTGCTCTACAATCAGAATGATTGTAGGCTTTGACCTGATTGTGATGGCTCTATGCCATCAAGCATTTCCTTGATATCCTAATGAGCTTAGGGAATTTATCATAGACTTAGCGAGAATATAAAAGCAGCACTTAATTTTTAGATAGTTACTTCACAACTGAACACGCATATTGATAAATATTAATGTCTTGATTAACTCTAGACCATACATTTTTTTTCTGGGACGGATGAGTCTTCACACATGAGATCTCACTGTTTAAAAAGGCTACAATGATTCATTTCCTTTTAGATTCTTTGCAGTAAATAGTCACATCTGTAACAGTACTGGGAAATAATCATGCATTGTTGGAATAAGACCATATCAATTTGTAATGCTTTTATGAAATAATAGTGATTTTATTCTATTTAATTTTTTTACATAAGTTATTTAAGATATAACTATGAAGAAACAAAAGGGGAAAAAAGATGACACTGGAAAAAAAAGGTGTTTGTTCAAAGGGAGTGGGAAGACATTGCTTAGTGATGCTGAAGTTGCTGTGTGAGCTACTTCTTAACAGGTTAAAGGACTATTATTTGGTTAGAAATGGAATATAAGGATTTATTATTGTTGGGTCAAAATTAAAGAGATTTGGACTGATTGGATTAGTTATATATCTATATTCCCTTTGGTTTTCCTATTAGGTGACCCAAATGTGGCAGACTGGAGTATAGTTCAGGGCATTTAGTAACTTTTCTAGAGCAGGATGCCTGATATTCTTCCTGTAGTTAAAGCTTTTTAATATGTGTTATAATATCTGTTGTAGAAGTGCCATAAAGCTTAGATTGATTTCCCAAAATGCTCACTCTCTCCTCCCTTCTGTGTTTGGACTTTCAGACAGCAGAAAGCCTACATTGCCACGCAGGGCCCACTGGCTGAGACCACTGAGGATTTCTGGAGGATGCTGTGGGAGCACAACTCCACCATCGTGGTCATGCTCACCAAGCTACGAGAGATGGGCCGGGTAATGCAAAAACCTCCCACCCTAAACCCCACAGATACGCCACCTGTAAGGCCAGGGAACCCTTTCAAGCGGGCGATAGCCATCTTTAATGCGTCTGCTCTCCTCTGCTAAGCTGCTTCGCTGCGCTGCTCAAATATTAATTCATTCCAGACCTGAACAATAACTGCGGCTCAAAGTTTACCTCCTTATCAGCGTAGCTCGAAACGCGTCTGGGTTCAAACCGGGCCGCTCCGGTGTCAGATTTGTCAATATCTGGGTGCATTCCAAGCATGCTGATAACTCCCATACACTGACCCTTATAATGAGGCTGGTTAAGTCAGGGTTTATTCTGCTTTGGCTTTTTGTGTTTGCATACCCACCATGTCTGCTGGAAGTGTTTGAGCATCGTTAGGATGGAAATACTTTCTGGTTTTAGGGTTATTCCCAGTCCTGCTGAGGGACATAAATAAGAGTAGATTGTTTCATCTTTGGAGGTCTTCGGTACCATGCTAGAATGTTTTTCACATTTTATTTTTGGTTTAAAACCATCAATTTCAGTTTTATTAGAACCTTATGTGTTAGAACAAAGCAAAGTGCCGCATGATTAGGGTGTGGGAGGAAAATGATGAAAGGGTTTTAAAATGCTTACATCTGAACTGCAAAAACAGCCCCTGAAACCTTTTTTTCTTGAATTACGAAGGTAAGTGAGACATTTTGCCATTGGAATAAGATTATTTTACTTTTAAAACGTAAAAAAACAATTTCAGTCACTTATTTTCAGTGCATAATATCCAGTTATCTGATTGTAAGGCATTCCATTGGTAGACCATATCATTTACCTGCTCATATTAAGGCTAAATAGAATTTAAGTGTGTCGAAAGAACCTTCGACTCTTTACTTTTGCTTGGCCATTGTGACATGAATATGCTTTATCAAACCATTATCCTATTGGATGCTGAATGTGAGCCCTACCATAGGTTTTAGAGGACTACTTTGTGTCTATGCAGAACATGCAGCCTCATATTGGGAGATAATTTATTCATTGTTGGTTTTTATTTTGTTTTTGTTCTTTTTTTTTCAGGAGTGCCCATATTTAGGTTTTTCTCTATCTCGCTATTAAAGTTGACCAGTTTTTGCTATAGAAACATGTTCCCACAGAATAAGTCTTCCAGGGATGGCTGTTAATTCATGGATCTTTTCCTACCAGCTTCCCTTTCTTACCACAGCACCATCCTACCACCGCCTTGTTTCACAGTGTGAAGTTTCTGGAGTTTTTTTGTCTAGAATTGTCCCATATTTAGCTCATTTCTTCTTCTCGTCAGCTTGATCAGCTTCCCCATCCCTTCTGTAAGAAAGCATCCCGAAATCTTCATGCAAATCCACCACCTAGTGATTCTTTGTGTATTCCAGCATATATCTGTAGTGCAAAGACTCAGGGTGCACCTCTGTGAGTTATACTGTCTAAGGACTGGGGTGAACACTTTTGCAAGGTGCTGTTTTTAGGTCCATAATTGTTTTCAGCCTGCATACATCATGAGAAAAGTAAGACATTTACCAAAACCTCAAACCACTCCTAAAGAGAACATCTGCAGAACCATTTTGTTCCCCCATCGAACAAATTTAGCTGTCTCTGCTGATGTGATTCTAACATTACTCAGCTGTAATTTGGAGCTGTTATCACCCTCTTAACTATGAGCACAGCTGATAGAAATAAAATCCCCCATGATTGGAGTTAAGAACACTAAAGCATTATATAAATATCATGTCACTGAAGATAAATCTGAAAATGATTCATAATTTCTTGTAACCCACACTTGCCTACCAGGCAGTCATTAAGTAGAATTTTTAAAAAAGTCTTCTTTTTTTTAACCCTAAAGTTTTTTTCTTTTTTTGCTTGCAGGAGAAGTGCCATCAGTACTGGCCAGCAGAGCGATCCGCCAGGTACCAGTACTTTGTGGTGGATCCGATGGCCGAGTACAACATGCCTCAGTACATCCTCAGAGAGTTCAAAGTCACAGATGCCAGGGTATGTTTCCCTCAGAGAGAGAGAAAAAATACAATATCTGTTGGCTCCCTTTAAAATACATATAGTTTTTTTCTGAGAAATCCAAGCATCCAACCAGAATCTATCTTCATTTTAGGTCCAAAACACCAGCAGAGGTGCTAAATGTTAGGAAATATACAAAGGTGATCAGAACATGGCCCGTGTTATTCCCCCTGACAGAATGACACCCAATGAATGTGTCGCGTTCACCCAGATTTAGAAACAGGCCTGCTCTGTAGATTGTCTGTGGGTGTGTGTGTGGATGTGTGTGATTGCTGTGAAAATACATGAAAAGCACAGCCTTCGGTCCCTGAGGGGGCCAGCACTGGAACTCCCTGTGATGCAGTAGTTTCAATGTGCTATAAATACACTTCAGTGTCATCTGAAGGCTCCCACGGCTGCAACACTCCAGTCCTACATCCACTTCTTCTTTTATATACATATAGGTTCTTTTTTCCCCATGCTTTCACAGCCCTCTGCAAACATATAGGCAGCTTCATTTAAATATATATTAAACAATCCACTGATTTAGGTTGCCTGCTTTATTTAAATCACATTTAAAAAATCTTAATTTTGAAGATTAGATGTTTCTGTTAGATTCAAAAACCAAAACAGGTTGTTTTGAGGGAGGTTTCTGAAAATTAGAGCCAGAGACCAGAGATGTTTAGGGCGTACTGATAATCCATATATGTGCCCCTCAGGATGGACAATCCAGAACAATCCGCCAATTCCAGTTCACTGACTGGCCCGAACAGGGAGTGCCAAAAACTGGAGAGGGCTTCATCGATTTCATTGGACAAGTGCACAAAACTAAGGAGCAGTTTGGACAGGACGGACCAATCACTGTACACTGCAGGTAAGAAAGACGCCTAACTCCAGTTTTTAATTGGATACTAACATTTAGAGGTCTGCCATTTTCTGGATAATTCAATCTGAAGTAGGGCTGGAACTAACAATTATTTTTGCAAATTGATTAATCTGACGATTATATTTTTCAATTAATGACTAATAATCAGATAGTAAAAGATTCCTAAAAGAAGATTTTTTTATGAAATGAAACCAGGGGAAACTAAAACTTTTCCACTTCATATTAGTTTTATCTTAAATGCGAAATGTTTATGTATTCTTTTATAATCTTGGTATAATTACTGCTGAAAGTTGGTCGCTCTATCAGCTAATGGCATGTTTAAGAGTCTCTATACTCCAGTTAACCATGAATCATTTACTAAATTAGTTGAGGATTATTTCAATAATCGATTAATTACGATTAATCCGATGAATCAGATTAATTGTTTCAGCTCTAATCTGAAGATTAATTTCCATTGATTTCAATGAGATATAAACAGAAAATAGCTTCAGGTTTAGAAACAGGTTTTTATACATGCAGACTTTATACACTTTGGACTCTATTCGATCCATCCTTACCTCAAAGGAAATAATTTCACTAAAACAGAAACGTGGTGGAATTCGGGATACCATTATGGATACCGGCTCATAAAAGTACATACAGTACACCCTCCTTTCTAGGTAGTTTAACAGCCTGTCACAGGTTTTACCTTTGCTGTGTGCATTTCTGTTACCTTCACCACATTTCATCTAAAGGTCATTTGAAATGGTTATGTTGCTTTATTAAACTCTCCCTTTAACAAAGTTTTCAAACTTTCAGCAGGACTGAATTCAGGCTATTCCAGGAGCTAAATGTTACACCATGTCTTGTATTGCCTGAGATTGTTCAGCTAGAAATAATCTTTAAGTGTCAGCAATCAAGCTCAGTCCCATTCTCTGTTATCCCTCCTACTTGGGTCATAAAACAAACCCACAGCAGTTAGCTTGGCCTTAAAACACTCACCTGCACTCGTCTTGAGTGAAACTTGCTGTCCTGTGGACGCTGCCGCTGGTGGTCATGGAGTTTCTGATTCTTAACAGAATGGAGCCTCACTGCTTCCAGAAAAAGGTTTTCTTTTCTCCAACCGGGTGACAGTTTGGGGTTTAGCTGGGGAAAAGTTTAAATTGGCTGTTTCAACAGAATAAAATGTTATTTACGTTTGGTAACATGTCATTAAAAGTGGGGAGCAGAATGAAAGAATGGCTCAAACTGTGAGGATTAAAATGAAGTTTATAGATAGCAAGCAGTGAGATTATCAGACGAGGATTAGAAAAGGAGCAGACCGACAGGAGAAGCTCTGCTTCACCTTTTAAATACAGTCGGCTCTTATGATCTCAGCTGCTGATTCGGGCTTTAATCTTTTAAAATCTCCCAAACTCATCATCTCTGACTAAGGCTGCTCAATATTCATCATTCAAACTCAACTCGCTAATTATGCTAAACTTTATGTGTTGTATTGTGAGCTGCAGTGTCTCCTCCTCCATATTTCACTAAATAAACAGTAATAACATTCAAATAAAAGGTTACTTTTAAGTAGTTGTTATTTTAAAACTCAGGGAAACTTTCAGCATCAATCATTTGGGATTTAATTTCATGCTAAAAGCAGTAATGAATGTCTGTGTGTGTTTTCACAGTGCCGGGGTAGGCAGGACCGGAGTCTTCATCACCCTCAGCATCGTCCTGGAGCGGATGAGGTACGAGGGCGTGGTGGACCTCTTCCAGACGGTGAAGACGCTCCGCACCCAGCGGCCTGCCATGGTGCAGACTGAGGTCAGGACAACATGCTGACGCTCAGACTTTAATGCTCACTCAGACAGGATGCTGTTTGAAAGTTAATGTCGTAGGCTGCAGGTTTGAGATTTAACACGGATACTGTCCGATATCTCCTCCTTTAGAGGATGGGCTGCACAAAAACAAAGACTTAGTGACAAATCCCACTTTAATAGAGGATTTAGTGTTGCATCAGAAATCCCACAACAAACTCATAAGGTATTATGGGAGCTTTTCAGATTCACCATGTAGCAGAGAAAGGTTATTAAAAGAAACAGTCTTACTGTGAATTTGATTTACAGACGCTTTCCTATCAGGACTATTACATCTTAAAATTACAAAATTTATTGTATTTTACTGGGATCTATTTGATAGATTAACACAAAATTGTTAAATGGAAGAGAAGAACACTTTTTTCTAAGTTAGGGTACTTCTCTACTGAATATGGAAACATGTGCTCATTCTTACCCCAGGCTCAAATAAACTGTGTGAGGAACTGGAACTTTATGTCTTGCCACAAATTCTTTACATTTAAGAATATTTAGATATAGGTCTTTCAAATCAAATCAGTTCCTTAATAAAGCACCAGTTCACAACATGTCATCTAAAACTTTTAGCTTAAATCCATCTTATTCTCCTTGAGCAGCTTTCTTTAAGGACTGCATTGTATTCCCATGGCATGATGCTGCCACTACCTTATTACACAGTGAAGTTTGTGTTTTTAGGAAATTTTACACGTGTTTTTTGGTCTCTATGTTTGTTCCCTAATGTTCTCGAATAATAAGCAAATAGACCTTTATAAATAAGTGGCTAATACTGTATTGTTTAGATGTATCTGAGATAAAAGGGTGCTGAATTATTATGCTCTACTTTGTGTTGGTTTTTCACATTAAATGTCAATAATGATGAAAAATTATAATAATTTCTCACTGCCTCCTTCTGTTTCCCTTTAGGACCAGTACCAGCTGTGCTACAGGGCCGCACTGGAGTACCTGGGAAGCTTTGACCACTATGCAACGTAACCACTCCCACCGAGGCAGCATTCCCCGGACAGACCTCTCAGGAGTGTGCCAAGTGTCCCATTTCAGCCACCATCCAACCGATCACTTGACCCCCACCCCGACTCTCGAGCCCTGGCTCCCGTATCACAGCTACCAGAGAGCTGGAGAAAGGGACGAACTTGCCTTCATCCGTTGAGCGTTTTTTTCAGCCACTTATAGAGAAATGCGTCAATCCGGCCAATACTTTTGCCAGAAACATCCCAACTCTTGTACAGACAGAGCAGACTCCTATGGAAGCCGAACCTCCCTGATTGTCAAAGGCTACTGGTAGCACAAAGAGGCGTCCTCTCTGTTTTCATCCTCAGTTTGTTCATTTTGTCAATATGATTAATTATCACCAGTTATTGTTTAGTATACTTTTTTATGTTTTTATTAATCATTTTAACACCTGACATTTCTCTTTGTGTCTGAAACTGCTCTTATGTTCATAATCGATTTTAGGCTACTTTAGCACACAGGAACGTGTTTTTTAACATGTTCCTCCAAACTAACGAGGACCACCGTTTTCTAAGCTGCCGTCAGGTTTCTTTTATCACATGATGTTTGTTTGTTTTATGTTCTAAAGGTTGCTTTTGGTCGCTTACAGTTCAAATACTCGAATTGCCTTTTCACTTGCCGTTACGAAAATCACATTTGTGGCGATTTGATTGGAGAACACAGACTCGCTGTAGTCGTCCCTCTTATCCCAGCAGATCAACACAAGTCCCAAGATGTGCACAGAAACGAGAAGCACATTTCTGTTTTATAATAATTTTTTTGTTTTGTTTTTAAGTTTGTTTTTCATCAGAAGCCTATGGCATTGAGGCCTTCATGCTCCACAGCGGAGAACACAGCAGACTTTTGTACCCAAAGGGAAAGGAGAGGGGAAAATACAAACTCCTGATCTCTGGATCAAGTCAAGATGCTCTTCAAATCACTCCCCATCACCTCGCTTGCTGCCAAGCTTAGTCAGATTTGAGGAGTTGGTGCGACGTGGAGCAGAAGTGGTTGCTTATGGGTTGGGGAGCAGAGCCATCAGCATCGGTACTTGTACAGAATCAACCATTCCTACAGAGGGACAGAAACTCAGCTCTTTGGACTGAAACCTGATATTATTTTATACGGAAATAGAACTATAAATATATATATATATATATGCATATATATAATTATGACTGATTATATATGTACGATTACACATAGATATATACACAGCTTCAAAAATATATTGTTAAAAAGGAATAATTCTGCTGATCTACCTAGAGACACTGCAGAGCCTGCTGTCCTAGAGTGTGTATTAATGGAGACACCATTGTATCTACTGTACTACCATTGTAACTTCAGCAGCTGGTTGTCCATATGAGGAAACAGCACAACCCCGACCCCCCCACAACCATCATCAGACGCAACAACTCTTCACTGGGAAAGCACACACCCTCTACAACATGAGCTGCGGGAACTGGAGCTTCAGATCCGATTGGATCGAGCGGGGGAGGGGGGGGACTTAAAAAAACGCTGGTAAAAATAAAAAAAAATGTTCATTTCTACCTTGTGAATGCTTAGTGCTGTAGGGGTTCAATCTGTTGTACACACAGTCTGTTTTCTATTTGTTAATAAAGAACTGGAACTAAAGAATCACATGTTGATGAAAAAGAAAAACCTTGATGTTAATAAAGTTAAATAATTGGGTTTTTGTAAAAAGAGCGGCTTTGGATGCCTTGATTCTTGATTTAGAAGTGCTATAAAAACGAGCACGGTCAAATTTTCCCTCAGAAGATCATCACCTCATAATGGTTTCCTATTTTGCTTCTGCACAAAACAACCGCAGGAGCGTTTTATCTCATTCATCTGTTGATCATTTCCAAAAAGAATGCTTCTATTGGGTTTTTAATGAGCTTGTTTTCTTTGTGTAGAAAGTTTGAAATGTAGTTAATCTTTTATTGCATTGAGATTATCTCAGTCTGAAAACTCTGAGTTCATTTATTCAGTTGGAAAAACAGTCACACTTTAAGATACAATTGTTAAAGAAAAAGGCATTGTATATTTACGTAAAAAAAGGAAAATTAGATTTTTGCCAGAGAACTATTTAGATTAATTTCACATATTCTGAAATGTCTGATGTTGAAAAGTTGTAAATTTGCATTTTTCTGAAAAAATCCTTTAATTAGTGACATTTCTGTTGTTTTTTTTTCCTCCACAAATTTGCTATTTTTCAACATAAGACAACTTTCTGTTTTTTTTTCTCTGGAAAATGTGTGAATTTAAAAAGGCATTTATAAGAGATTTACTCTTTTCTTTTATCTAAAATGGCCGTAATACTTCGCCCCATAATTTGGTCGCATTTAAGTTATTGTTTTTTTTTTGTTTGTTGAAAGTTTTTGTTTTGCAAAATGACTTCTTGTTCCAGATTTTATGATTATTTTTTTGTTAACAAGAAAAGCTTAACCTTAAAATGCACATATAACAAAAATAAGTAGGGACCTGTCAGTTAACCATCCTTCAAAAAGGGAATCGAGAACATGGCGTTCTAGTGAGGTAAGCAAACAATTTAATTCCTTCTACATTCAAAGCAAAGTATGAAACAAAGTTGGCAGAAGATCCTAATTAATCCCACCAATATGAACTGCACCAAAATAGGCATGTATTTCCTATGCTATTGTTAAATATTATGATAAATCACCAATCATCAGCTGCTAAATATATATTCATATAGGGGCAGGTAGCTCAATCAAATGCTATTCAACCAGCTATTAATTCTGACTTTATATTGAAATATTAACAAAATGCAAAAAAGGGGTTCTTGTCATTAACAGACAACATGTATTCTTCATTGTTATGGCCACTTTATAGCAATGACAAAAATAGTTTAACATATGTGGTGGATATAAAAAGCACTGAAACCTCTCATAGGCAATAAAAACTAACAACACACAGCTGACTAAATGAATGTGAATAAAGAAGAACTGATACAAACAGTAGAATTAAGAGTTTTACTTATGGTCATGTTGGCCCAACTGTTCTACTTGTAATTAAGCAATCCTTTGTAATTGGGATATTGCGTGCAATGATTGGATTTAGTTTTGAAGCTCTAAAAAGATGCATGGGGAGGTAAAAAAAAAAATAAGAACGTCCAAACCTCACCGTTAAACTGTGGTAAACCTTTACTTCTATTACAACTGCAATAAAAAGGAAAGTTATTTTAAGGATTTTTTGCCCTAGCTTTAAAAGCTGAGCCAGTGTGTATGGAGGGCTCAGTTGACAGTTTCTAAGAGAAAAATTGTTTGATTTGCCAAATGGACACAATTACCTCAACCTCCCAAAAGCAACTTTTTTCAGAGCTTTCAGACACATCTATCAGTCTGCCTCAACAGAGCACAGTTTGCTCAGTTTTCATAAAGATGGTTTTAGTCATTTCCTAAAGAGCGTCTCTGGTGATTTCCCATCACAGAGACGGCATCATTTGTGTTTTTGTCTTTGCTCACGTCACATGTCTGATGTGGCTGAGCTGTCCTTTCGGAAAAAAAGATGTTATTTGTTTCCGTGCACCACTAAGAAGTGGGCAAAATCTTAATCTGATGACAAAGTATGAAATGTTTCCTGCTGTTACCAGAGAAACTTTAAAACACACACATAGGAGTTAGTTCTGTTCAAAATGACCTGAGTCCTGGATAACTCATAGAGAAAAAAATACAATATTAAATCCACCCGCTACTAGTTTTAAAAGGACTGAAATTACGCAGGAACAGAAAAAATGCAGTGCTGAGATTTGTGCAGTAAAATTGTTCTTATTTCCACAAACCAATTAGGTTGAAGCTGTTTAGGAACCAAGGCTCCAGACCAGGGGTCTGCAACCTGCGGCTCCAGAGCTGCATGTGGCTGTTTGGACCCTCTACAATGGCTCCGAGAGGTGGCTAAAAATGATATAAAGAACTAAATAATGTACTGTAAAAACAAATACCAGTCTTAGATGCTTTTCTGTTTTTTAGAAAAAAAATTGACTATTTGGAGCTACTTTTCCTTTAATTAGATTGGAAACTATTTGCTTTATTGTTATTATTTTTATTTATATCAAATAATACCCTTAAAAAATCCATGCTTCAACTGTATGAATCATTTTATTATTTTCCTTATTTAAGAAAGCAAACAATACTAATAAAGTAAACTCCTTTTTCTTTAAAATGGCAACACATTTCTTATGGCAGATATTTAACAAAAATAAAATGTTGTGTTTTATTTAAAAAATAATGTAACATTTTCCAGAACTAAACAAGTTTTACTTAGCTGGACTCAGGCCAAAATGGATATCAAAGTTTGCAGACCCCTTCTCTAGACAATAGATGTCCAAACTATGATAAAAACACTGCTTATGGTACTGAAGCTGCCTTCGAAGAGACTGAGTGGAATATTGAAGAAACTACTAATAAAAGAAGCAGGAAGAGGAAACCTTCAGATCTGCCCTCACAAACTATGTGGGCATCAGTAAAACAGAGACACACGGAGGCAGCTTGTTAGGCTGGTTTGTTACATCTACAACTATAACTGATGCTGCAGATTGATGGTTTAATTAGCTATTAATCTGAATAAATGTCTATATTAACCACATTTAGCATAAAAAAACTAGTCATGTTTATTTGAATTTTATATTTTTGAAACACCCAACTTATCCAGTATGCTCCCTTTTCAAATATCCCTAATATGCTAAGCTAGAGGCTATGTAAGCATTTTCTACTCAGAAATCTTACAATATGTTAACTGAAGGATGATTCACAGGTAAATAAAACAAAAAAAGAAATCTGCAATATTTAATATAAAAAAAATAAATAATATAATAATAATAATATAAAAAATAACTTAAATATTTGTATAGTTGACAGCATTACTGGATACAATTCTGTACTTCTCCGTTGCCGTCCCCTTTCAGGCAGATGCTTCACCTGCATTACCCACTTCAGTTGTTTAGAGGGCAGGATGATGCCGCCTGAGTACGCCAGCCTGGCTTATGTCAGTGTTCCCATAGGCAGCTGTAGGTTTAATGAAGACCACCACCATCATCACAACATAATTTAAAGCTCTTTGGAGAACCTTAGTTAAAAATGAACTCTATGAGCACTCACTATTTATATTGCAAATTAATATAAAAATGCTTTACATTTTATTTTTTATGAGTATGGCTTACTGAAAAGGATTAGAAAACTGTGAAAGTGTTAAGTATTAGAATTGATATCACACCTTAACCAATTAATTCATTAAAAACCAATGATAGGTTTCCAGAGCCTCTCATCTTTCACTCTGGATCATTGGGTCACAAAATCATTTGGAAAATAGTCGAATAGACAATCATTGACAAAACGAGGATAAGACAAATGGTCATTGGTGTAGGTGGATGCTCACACATGCAGAGTGCGAGTCCTGAACCAGAGGCAACTTCAGAAGCATGTAACTCCAGAGGGAGGAGAAAATGGAGATGATGCTTCCTCGTTGGTCCAAATTCCTCTTTTCAAAAAAAAAAATAAAGTTTACATTTTAAATCGGGATCTTACCTTTGGAAGCATGAGCAGGGAGGCAATACATGATAGTTGAGGGTCTGAAGTCCACAGTTAACAGTCATCTACCGGGACATTTTAGAGCCCTACATGCCTCATCTGACAAGCCACATTAACAGAGAGGCTAGTTATTGCATTTTCACCTTCAAACAGTGTGCGTTTATGTTCCTATAAGGGGTTAAAGCTAGTACAGTTCATAAAAATATTAAAAGAGATAAAAGTCCTGAAAATGATTAAGGGTTTTTTATTCCATCCAAGACAACTGTCCCTGCCCCAAATATTTCCTTTTCTTACAAAGAGATAACAAGATAACAGAACCTGACCAAATTTTATTGTCCTAAATCTAAAAAGTCTTTTCTTTGCTAATTGTTAAAAATCTTTGAAAGCTATTCAGCTCTGTGTGCCTTTCCCATCGTCTTCCTTCTGAAGCTGTTCTCCCAGCAGAGCATTAGGGTTTGATTTGTGCTAAATGTGCCACCTTCTGCAAACGATCTGGAATGAAAAACATTTAGGAGACAATGACAAACAATGTGGATTCAGTCCGCTGCTCGCCTTAGGAGGGATCTTAAGGAATGAGTCACTGAAATGTCTGATAATATTTTCAAGCAGTTCTGGTATTTTACCATGGAAACGCCAAGGCCATTTAAACACGATAAAAAAATACTGTCTTTATTTCTCAGCGTTAAAAAAAGATTAAAAACCACTGGAGTAAAATACATATTTAACATATTTGCGTTTGGTACTCCATTTATTGTCTTAATCTCTTCAGCAAATGGACTGTTGTCCTTATCTGTGTCATACATGTCTCATATAAATAAACAAGGACTTTATTTATAGCAGATGAATGTAAATTATAGCTTTTTTGCTCTAAGCATGCAGTAGCAGGGCCTGCCCACTGGGATATAACGCTTCTCAGGACACAAGAACACAAACAAAACGTAAAGCTAGATTTAACTAATATGCTTTCCAAAATGTTTATGCTTCTATAGACTGCACAGCATTGTGTACATAGGAATTAAGTGGAATCATATTTCTGACTCAATTGTGCACTTAGCTTCGGAGCTGCACTCCAGACATTCACACCTCTAATGGTGTTGCTGCTCTTTTGTTTCGGTGCACCGCTGTTATCTCCGCTGTGCAGAGCAGAGCTTAGTTTTAGCCCTAATAATATTCAGTTCATGACAGCTAATAGCGTGCCCACATGAAGCTCATTTACAGCAGTAAATTGTTTTGACTGCAGGTTGTCTGTTTGTGGGGCTGCATTGTGTAGGTTAGAATTCTGGCTGCAGCATTTTACAAAATGTTGTTTTGGATACCACGCACCTGGCAACACTCTGGTTGGATAAACAAACTTTATGCACATTGTTTTGAAACACTGCAGTAGTTTAAAATCCTTTACTTTCTGAATATCTGGATTTAGGTTGGAAAAAGACAGAAACGGCATCCTAAGGAGGTGTTATGATTCACCTAAATGGGTAAGGAAATCTAAAACCAAACATCTGTCTGCTCTATGCTGCTTGTTTTTACAGTAGGCTATATTGAATCACATGTTGGGAAATGTGTCACAGAACTTGGGCCCAATCTAACCAAGATGAGGACCACAGATCTGAGTTACTCTGTCTGAAGATTAAAGACAAGTTGGAGGAGATGTTCTCTGACTGTCACCTGGCTGAGGACGGTTTCCTGCTCAAACACATTCAGAGGAACAAGCAGGGTTTCGTCAGTTTAAAGCTTCTCACTTGTCTGAAAAAGGTAAATGTCTCTTAGTAGTTTTATGTGCTGAAGCAGTTTGAATGGAAAAATCCAGTAAAAAAAATGCAAACAAAGCTAAAATGTTAAATATTTGCCACAGATAAGATTGCTGACCACTAACTGGTACATGACTCTGGCTGCCGTGGAGTACTCAGACATTCTGGAGTTAAACGACGACTGTACCAAAGTCCGACGCAAAGAGCCTCTTCCTCAGTGGCTGATGTGCTCCCCCACCAGCCGGTTCGTTCTCGTCCGGGACACCACCAGGGAGCAGGACAGGGTAGAGGCTGCAAACTCAGAGCAGCCTTCACTCTTAATGAGCATCCTCCAGAGGTTTGATGCTATACGTGACCTTGCTTCAGTCTGGATCCTGAATCCTGGAGAGGAGCTTCCCAAAGAGCTGCAATGCTACGCCAAACATCACAAAGAGCTTGGACAGCTTCTGTGTGCAGTGATAAAGTTTAATAGTTTGGGGTCTGTTCGTAGGGCCTTCAGCTCTCTCAGAGAGGAGAAGAAGATCGACAAGAGGGGCTTGTTTGTTGTGTCTTTAGGATGGCAGTCAATGCAGAGCATCGGCAAGTTTAAACCATGGGAGAAAAACAAAGGTGAAGGCGCATATTTTGTGGGAGATGCTCTGGAAGTCTGCCAGGTTTTAGCCCAGAAGCCTCCTCCTTCACCGCTCAAGTTTTCTGAAGAAAATCCAGAAGCTAATCTTCCTCAAGCATGCCAGGATAACTCCAGCTGCAGTGGGAAGTCATTGCATGGATTTACTAAAAGGTACAGCTGGACAAACGGCTGCTCCGGAGACCGTAATACACAGATTTCTCTGTGCCCCTGGGTACTGAAGCGCAAAGCTGCAGTAAAGCCAGAGACATCTGAGCACCTGAAGCCAACTGCCTTAAAACTAATAGTCCTACGTCAGCCCTTTGGCCCCGATGGTACCAAGGGCTTCCAAGCCAGAAGGCAACAATACGACTTGCTTGGAGAGAAGAGCTTCAGTGAAGACCTGAAGCAAGACTAAGCAAAGGGAAAATAGCCTGAAGCTGTGACAAGAAGACAAAAAAAAAGGTTTACATTAAAAAATTAAGTTCTGATGATGAATGTTTAGTCTTTTCTGGATGTAGTTAGGAACCACTGACAGATGAGGGCAGCATATACTTGTGCTCAATAGATTATTTCCTGACACTTTGTTCAGTTTATCATGCTTTTAAACAGTTGAGATTGGTTGTAGTTAAATAGAGTGGAAAACATGCAATAAGGTGGGGGGGAAAGGGCTAAAGCAAAATAATCCAAATTAAAAGGTTTCCAAAAGCCATGAAGAGGTTCTTTGGAAAGATTAGAGGGATCTTCACCCATCGGCCTGAGCTCTTCTGGTCACGCAGCAAATTGCCCGGTACGGTTGTTCCTCAGCCAGCAGCCATTTACCTTACCAACTTTCTCAGACAAAATGAGGTTGTCTTTCCTCAGACAAAGCCCTCATTATCCCTCTGCATCTTTTGCAGAGAGGTCTGTTTAGACTCGAGGTCTTTGGAAAGTAGCTTTCCACTCGTTGAGATGACAGTTTGGCAGGAGGGCAACTTGTCCAATCTTCAAACCACACATTGTGCAAGCAGAGCTTAGCAGCAATGGTTTTTGCCTGATTTCCAGTTGTTTTAATGACACCTCCACTGGAATGGTTTGTTTATAGTGTTACTGATTGAGGGCTTCCTTAAAATCTTGCCCGAACCTAAACAGAATGTGTTTCTTCACTTGTCCACGCCCAGTGGAAAAGGTTCAATCTGCTGCATTTGGATCCCAATCATATAAGGATTGAAAGCATTCTTTGTTTGTTTTTTTCTTCATTCTTGTGTATTCAAATGCCAATGTCTTTGTGACTAATGTAATCTCAACTGTTGAGAGAGACTTTTCAGTATATACAGACCCGGTGTTTGACTTGCGCTGTCTCTGACTTGATTTTGCAATTAACAGCTGTTGCATTTTAAAAAAACTGCAAAAAAAATAAAAACTGCCAAGGCCGGGCTACGAACACATACACATCTGTGAACAATATGTATAGAGGAGAAATGTTCCTGCTTGATGTCAGGAAATGTTTCTGTGCGGATGGATCCCTTTCAAGGCTACAAAAGCATGACCTCCCCTGCTAAGTGGAAGTCATGTGTTTACATGCTCTATTCTGGCCCCAAACCGATTTTCATGTCCAAGTTAGTACGAACAATCTTGTTTGCTTTGTGTTTTAATTGTGGGATTGAGGCGATTTGCACCTGCTGATTTGCAACCTTGTGAAAAATATCAAGTTCCTAATTCCCTCGCACACAGCTAGTTTCTGCTGTACTTTAAACAAAATAGATTGGTGGAAGCATTTTTTATTGCAGGAATTTCATCCTTAAATGACAACATTTCCAGGACCCACCGGAATGATACACATTTTTACTACACACATACAACCGGTTTACGTTTACAGTACAGTAAGCAAAATGTTCAAGTTAATGTTTGAAAGCTTTTGTTTTTTTCCCCAACATCATACTCAAAATCGACATTTTTTGTTGTTTGTTAAAACAAAATAATAGCAACTTTGATAAACTATATATTTGTCAGCATAAAAATACTAGAAGTAACTACAGAACAATTGGCATATTCAATTGGCATCCACACAGAGAAAAAAAATATCTTTTTAAAATAGAATTTGTAAAAAATGTGCAATCCCTAGAGCGCTGTAGAATGTTTCCCAACCCTTTTTAATAAGTTGTCTGTGTATAAATTTATTTAAAAAGGATGCCACATATGGTTTTCTACACTGGTGGCACTGTGACAGGAACACATCAAACCATTCAATACAAATGCAGAGAGGTGGAGCTAGAACGTTATCTTTTAAGAAAGCATCTGGCTTTAAAATCTTTCTACTCTTAGACCTAATTCCAAAAATCATTGTTTCTGCTTCCTCAAAACCCTAGATTTCTGTCATCATCACACCTTAATAGCAAAGTGCATTTTGCTTTTAGTTTACACCTAAGCAAGGTTTCCTTATTGTCCCTTAAAAAAAAGAAATGTCCCATTATCAGAAAAAATATTTGGTGTCTAATTTAATTCAGCTTTGATATAAATGTTTGCTAAATCAGTCCACAAACACAATAAAAGGCAAAAATGAATTCATGTTGGTAGGGTGGAAGATAATACCTGGCCAAGAAATGTCCTTTATTTAATTTTCACAGAGTTGGTAATCCTAATCTAAACTCATCTCTGTGCGGACAGCGCCTCAATCAACTTAGATTTGATTCAATTTCAATCCATATTCCCACTTAATGCAGCAGTTCAAGTATATTGAATTCAAAAGTTCTGTATTAATCCCAAAGGTAAATCAAATCTTTTTTTAAAGCTCATATCACAGACTTTTTCAAAGAGCTGCTTAGATGCTGTTAGCTGCATGTAGGAATGATGCGCTGCAGCAATCTGTCTTGCAGCAGATCTGCAGAAGCCTTGGGGTTTAGAATCATCAGCTTCAGTTTATATTGAAAATAACCTAATAGTCTACTTTAATTTGTTAATAGGCATAACTTACAAAGTATTTTCCAATTACAATCAAGCTTCCCTTTTTTTTTTATCAACCCTGAGGTCTCATACAAGGGCACACATCGAAAAATCACAAGAAAGCCTGGGGATTAGGTGCCGTAGTACCTTTTCATAAAAGGTTTAATTAATATCAATTAAAATGCATGCTTGGTTCAAGGATTGTACAATTCAGCTTTACAAAGTTAACATTTTCATAGTGGGAGGATATAAACAGAAGTCCCCTGAAGTCTGAATTACATGAAATAAAAATCAGAGATTTCCCAACAACTTCAACCTCAACTCCTAATATTCCCCTGCTGGTTAACAGCAAATGGACAGCAGCAGTTATAAACTGGGGAGTTACAATTGTGAACAAAGTGTTTGCCACATTCCAGTTTTCCTGTTTATATCTGAAATACGCTTTAATTCGGATTGGTGTAATTCCTGACCTCCTTCTAGCTGTCTTTCTTTCTTTTTTTTTTTTTTTTAGTTTTATGTGGAGTTCTTTAAATATTACCCACTACGCTCTGAGGCAGTTTCCCCCCCAATTAATCTATATTATCATTTTGTTCACTTATAATCCCTGCTACAGTGTATAATTTCACCTATAGTCCTAGTATAATGTCCGGTCATAAACAGTATAATATCATGCTCAAGAATTATTAAGGAAAAGAGCCAAAATCCTCTCCTCGACATTATTTTCCTCAGGAGTTTTCGAAATAAAGATTTATGTGTTTGAACTTGTAGAAAGAGAGCCTCATCTCGTTGGCTGATAATTACCTTTGAAAGTTTGAAATTATTTTTTCTGTCACTACAGGCAACGAAAGCACCACCAGTTTTTAAGTCCCTCGTTTCAGTTAATTCAAACTTAAAAGCCGACAGGAAATTCCTCTGGTATTTCCATTTTGATCCCACTCAGTTCTAAAGCATCTATGACTCTTAGAAAGTAAACACTGAGCCACAGTTTTGCCTGTAATCCGTGATTTGTGTTCAGTTGGGATGAGTGTGTCCATATGACTCATGTTGTTAGAATAAGACAATTGTTAACAAATAATGTATTTCCTGTTGTGTTGCTGGCTAATACTTTAATTTAACCATCTCTGGCTCCAAATGTGGTTCTTGTGCAGATTTAAGTGAAAAGGTTTACGCTGCCCAAAAGCATCACCTGTGAAGTTTTTATTTGGCAACCTCTCAGATCTTGTGTATCAGTTATCTCATCTCTAAACAGGTTGGACTCTGTTTATACATTACCGACCCTGCGCACCTGACACATTTCCTCTGGGAACAGGGTATTTATTTAGATTGCAGTCTGGACGGCCTGATACCTTCCAAAAGCACGACCATCTGCTCCTCGTTTGCTCCTCCAGGGCTCACGGGCTGAAACACGGGTCTGGATTGGAGGGAAATGTGAGATCCTCAACAACATCAACCTTGGTTCTATCTCCAACTAACTGCAGATTGAATCTTGAAATACTCGCTTTGTAATAAAACTGCTTAGATGTTTTAATCTTGTCTTATAACCTTTTAAATCAGTTGTGAACTTTCTTAATTCCCCCCAAATGACTGGAAAGCACTTGCTTCAACAGACCCTAACTGCCCAGTTGAGGCTATTACCAATTGCCTGCTTAAGGTGACAGACTCCATTGCAGCAGACGGTGAATGTAAGCTCCTGCTCAGGCCAAAGCATCCTTTAGTGCTCCTGGAGTTAGAGCCAGGAAGATTAACATATCAGGAGTAATCCGACTCGGCCCACAAGCACAACTATGGAGGAGGAGGAGCAACAGTTTGAGGGGGGGAGATGCAGGCAGAGGCATCAGAAAGAAGCTCTCTGCTCCACTTAGAGTAACCACGCTCTCCCTCCTCACCCAAACCCATCCTTTCGACCCGCAGAGTTCCCCTCCTGGGAGCAGAACAGCGGACCTGCTGCTGGAAAAAAGGGTAAGATGTGCATTGTCCTTCCATCAGTGAAGACACATTGCTCTGACAGGAAGAGAGTTTTTCAACAGATGGGATAAAAGTTAAGACATCTGTGGGATCTGCTTATTGCATGCCACTGCACCTCAGCTCTGCTCTCTCCTTCTGTTTTAGGTTAAAGTTTTTGTTTTTTTGCTGCAAAACAGAAGAGCAAAAAGTTCTCTGCGAAGAGGCATGTTGACGGGCGTTTTCTGAAGCAAAGCCTAAAGTCCCTTCAAGCTCTTTTCTTTTTTGAATGGATCAATCTGAGTGTCACAGAGGGCATGCTTTTGCAATTAAAGGAATGTTGATTTTGATCTTCACCACTTAAAAGATTTCAATGGAAATGCAAATACTTTTAAAGAATAAGACATCCTGGACTTGAATCAAGTCAAGACATCTCCCGTACTTGCAAGGCCAAGGAACTGTAGCAGAATTCATGGGAAAAAGCAGTTCTCCTGCCTCTTCTTCTCACCTGTGATGAAGATGGACTTACCCAGTCAGCACTTGCCCGAGGAGGTCAGCTGAAGCCAACGCCACGCAGCTAAGTCTGGATTAGCA